TTCTCCTGTGCGGCTTTATGGGCTGCCAGCTTCTGGCGCGCGGCGCGTTCGTGCGGTAAAAGCCCATCGTCGGCATCGTTGCTTCGATCTGCGGGGGCTACTGCTCCTGCTGGGCCATCGGGGCTCGGTGCTTTTAGCGGCGTGCCTGCACCGAACGCTGGCGCTCCCCATCCAGACCCGTTGGCCGGACCAGGTGACTTCCTAGGTATGCCCGAGCCGATAGAACCCTTGCCGCCTCCCCATGATGCAAATCCCCGGCTGGCGTTCGATGCAAGTTTCGTCGAATCGGAGTAGTTTGGTCGACTGAGATCACGCTGCCGCGGCAGGGCGGGGTGGCGGCAGAAGGCGCAGACGTAAGCACTGCTTCGCTCCTAAAGAAAGCTATTAGATTATGTGCAAAAAAGACTCAATCGTCCGTGGATGCCTTTACTTACGTTCCATATCCTACATCTAAGCATGATTTGTGTATGGGCGCAACATGAGAGGCTGCGAAGGAATGCCTGGAGAAAGTGAAAGTAGAGCTCGAGCTCCTTCGAAATGCCCCAGAAATTTCTCAAGCTCCCGTCCCCCAGGACAATTGGAGAGGTCAGCATGTGCAGCCAATGGCTGCCGGGAGGCAGTTGGACAGTTTTTGGACCCACCACTCGGTACGTCAGGGGCAGGTACCTGACGGCATGCGACCCCCTTGCCCCCATTTGTAAAGCAAATTCGGCCAGCTTGAAGCTAAAGACCCTGGGCCGAGCTCACTTATTCTCATTCACATTTCACAAGCACACCTGGTTTACAGCAAGTGTGCGCGGAACGGTCACGATGGCGCCAAAAGTGAAGGCTGTCAAATCCAAGGCGCCCAAGAAGGCTGCAGCGGGCGCGCCGCCGAAGCCCTTCAAGAAGCCGGCAGAGGTCCTACAACCCTTCATCGAGACGCTTGACCCAAAGCACGTCTACATCACCCACATCGACTCCAAGCCCACCGAGTTCAAGAAGAAAATCTTCCTCGTGCCGGTCGGCATGAACCTGGCTGTCGCCGCGCTCTTCATCCTGCGCATGTACTGGATTCTACCCTACTACTTCAAATTCGTCCAGTCCGCCATGGGCTACCCCAACGAGACGACCTTCCCCACCGCCGACTCGACCTGGGGACAGCTCATCTGGGAGATTGCCAAGCGTGGCGGCTCGCTCACGCTGGATCTTATGCTCTTCATCTTCGTCTGGCCGTGGCCCGTCGAGTTCGTCTTTGGCACGTCGTACAGCAACCCGGTCAGCTGGCGCTGGAAGGTCGGTTTCCGCGAAAAGGAAATCTACGTCCGGCGCAGCCGGGAGTGGGACCAGCAACTGGGCGACATCTTCAAGGACAGGGAGCGCAACGAGGCGCTGCAGCAGGTCATCCGGCAAGCTTGCTCCCCTCTCCTCCTGCAGGAGAAGACGGGCTACCTCACCATGACGGGACAGTGGGATCTCGACTGGCAGGCCATGATTGACGCACACACCATGGTGGACCGCAACGACGTCGCACTAGATGCCTTCAGACGCTTGGTACTGGTGTATCATGAAGATTACGGCTGGATGTCAGTTGAAGAAGAGGGCGTAACCGCAAAGGAAGACGACAGACGGAGACAGGTGTTCCAGTTCAGGGATGCTCTCAACGCAATCGGCAAGGAGAACCTCTTCTTCCGGTGGATCGAGATCGTGCAGTTTGAGTCCTCGCAACCTGGCGGGTTTGGACCTGAAAAGCAAATTGTGGTGGCGAAGCAGATTCGGGATCTGTTCCAAAAAGAAGGCGTGGATTTTGACCAGGTGTGGCATGACGCCGTTGGATCGGATGGGTTAAGTGGCATGTGAGGCAAATCACGTATCTGCACTGTGCGAGGCATGTACAATTGGCTTCATGTAAAATAGAGCATTTTCACGGAGTCTGGCAGGACAGCTTATGGCGGTAATAGGGGGTTGGCAAACGAAATCTTTTGTCCACATTTGTGGTTTCCACGTAACATCCGAGGCATGCGACGATGCGATCGAATATGGACCAGGAAGAACGACGGTATATAACTTGAGGTCGTGTCCAGATTGCCAAAAAAAAAAAAAAAAGCACTGAATGTCCGACTTGGCCAGGACCGGCTTATTTGCTAGACTTCTTGCCCTTCTTCGCTGTAGGGCCAAGGGCGGCCTCACGCTTCTTGGCCTCCTTTGCCTCAATCTCCTTCTTCTTCGCAGCCTCTTGGGCCTCGCGCTCTTCTCTCTCGGCCTGCAAAACATTGGATGATCAGTATTAATGTCTACCTTAGGAGGCAAATCGAAAATTGAGTTGAAATTCTTACGTCTCTCCGAGCAGCATCAGCCGCTCTCTGCTCACGAATGAGTCTCAACCGCGCCAGGTCGGCCTTGGCCTCGTCCGTCTTGCCGGCCTCGTGCAACTTGCGGTATCTCTCCTTGGCTTGCGCGGCCTCCATGCTCTCGCGCTCCTTGCGGTTGTTGGCCACGGTCAGCTTCTTGACGCCCTCGGCGGCCTCGTCGACCTCGGCGCTGGGGACAGGCGCCTTGGTCTGGTTGCGAGAGGCCTTGGAGTGATTGGGGTTGGCAGGCATATCGTCGTCGCTGCTCTCCTCCTCGGAATCGGTGGGGGGCAGGTCGCCGACCTCGACGGCCTGGGCCTTCTTCTTTGCTATGGCGGCGTCCTTGCGAGCCTTTGCGGCAGCCTTTCTGTCGGCACGAGACAACTCGGCCTGGGCGGCGCCACCCTCGTCAGAGTCGGACTCCTCCTCAGAGTCCTCTTCAGAGTCTTCTTCGGAGCTCTCCTCGTCCTTCTTCTTGGAGCCGGCGGCCCACATGTTGATTTCGTTGCCATCGGCGTCGAGGGGTCTGAGATCACGGGAGAAGTGCTTGCCACCTTTTCAATCATTAGAATGTCAGCCAGCGCTTGAACAAAGTCATTGGCGAATTTTTGACGAACCTCCACGGGTGAACTTTCTAAACTTGCCGCCACGGCCGCGAGAGTTGCCTCCTGGTTGTCCGCCTGCCATTTTGACTGTGATGGGGAGGGCTTTTTTTTTTCCTGCTGGTTTACTTCTGATTGTCTGTGTAGACAAAGTGAGATTGCGGGGTCGAAGTGGGATGTTTAGCAGAGATAGTTGGCGCAAAGGGTAGGATGGCGGGGTAAAAGTGTGCTGTCCTGCTTTGGTGGGCGGCGGCTGCACTCGAACGTGGTGGTTTTAAAAGAAGAAGGTTATGGTGTCGGAAACTAGAGGCAGAGGAAGAGGGAATCACTGGAGATAAAGCAGGGTCAACACGGTGAATCGGACTTCAGTTGTGATCCCATTGGGTAGACACTAAGGAATAGCTCGAGGAGTCACAGACTTCATAAGGTGTGGCAGATCAGAGGGGCAATCATCATTACGGTCTTTCGCCCTGCCAAGTTACCTTACCAACTGTACCATAACAGCATCGTTGGGTTACGGCGCGCAAAGCACGATACTGCAGTCCATTTCAGTCCCTGAACCTGCAGAGTCCCGCAAACACAAACACCTTGACCTTCATTGGCCGGCGGCAGCAGCCCATTTCTACCCGAGGGGGCCACTCTTTGGCCTCTTTTTCACCGCCACGACTTTGTGCCCCACGCTAAAACGGGCAGACTTCAGTGTACACTAGGTAGACAGCCTGTGTCAGGAGATGCACATGCATGCGCAGAATGTCTGTCATCTAAGCCACACATGGTATGTTTTCGGCAATCACCTCACTTTAGTTACCAGGTGCAACATCTTACCCTTCCTCACCTACCAGGCCGCGGTCCCTGACATTATAACCCTGATAGAGACGGGGAAAGAGTGAGGCCAATCATAGGATGATTTCAATCTGACAGCTCTTATTCGTTACCTGAATTGACCCCACTCGGTGCTCACGGCTTTATAGACTCCTCCTACTTTGTTTATACCAAAACCGAAGGTGATCAACAGAACACGAGGAGTTAGCTCGTTACAAGAGAGAAGTTAGGTCTAGGTATTATACCTACAAATGAGTGAGTCACTCTAGTGATATTTGACTGTGTGGTATTTACTACATGTCAATCAACTACGACTGGTCCTCAAAGTGCTAAGAGTATTATCTCATTTTGCATGGGCGAGAATGCTGCTGGTGCAATCTAGTCCATGTTATAAAACGAAGAGCTCTCAAAGTGGTATAATCACTGATATAGGTCATGTATGCCTCCAATCTGAAGACCAACCCTGGTGTGAAACGGGTTCATCGCAAAGTAATGCCAAGGACATCTCCAAGTGGCCCACCAAGGTATCGAGCCGCATTTGAAGACCGAAAGTGAATCCCGGCCATCGGCAAAACCTAAGCGCGAACCAACCACCCTCTCCACCGGACCCACTGTCGAAAAACCAATATCAAGGCTGAGATCGCGCGCAAAAGCTTACGCTTTCCTCTTTTTCTCTTTTTCTTCTTTACCTAATCATAAAACATATTAATCCTCCTTATTCACTCTGGCTTTCACGTTATCAATGAATGTGTCTGGAGGGGAAACAGGAGGAGAGACTGACGCACTTTATTCGCACACTTACCCTCTGACCCGTGGCAGCTTCGGCTGTATTGGTGATTGGAGAAATTTTTTGCGGCGATACATTCTTTCCCACCGCATTTGCTATATGTCAGTGAGATGCCGTGACCGAGCTGAGGCGCATTAAACATTGTTCCAGATGTCAGTCTCGAAATTGACTGTCAAGTCGAAGCTTTGAATGCTCCCCGCTACTACCAAGTGCTTAAATTCCCACAGCAAAAGGTGTTGTCGGTGTGAGGAGAGGTTATCTCGACCGTACAGTGCGATAAGATGACATACAGTAAAGGCACAGTGCTCTGGTCTCTCACTGAGTCCCTCCCTTGCTCACGCGTCATCGCATCTCACTCATCGCCATAACCATGACGAACTCTCAAAGGTGATACAGTTACAACTGTTTTCCGACCTCCCAAGCTATCCCTGCTTAGTGTTTCTACATGAACCGTCCCCCATGTATGACCAAAACGGACAAGTCTTTAAAGAAGTCGTCGCACAGCGGCCCCCCGACACGTACCAGAATGGCCGGGACTGGTCACGGCGGACCGGCCGGCAGCCACGAAGAGGTCGCGGCGGCCAAGGCATGAAGGGTGCGAGGTCGCTCGCCGATATGGCGGTGCACACGATAGCGGAGAATATCGGTGACGTGGAAGAACAGCATCTCGCCCGTGAAGATCTGCCGCGGCGGTACCTGTGGAGGATATGGCGACTCTTGGAGAATAGGTTGGTCCTGCTCCTACCTATCATCTCTTATTTTTCCGAAATGTGCATTGTGATATTTATTATCTTCGTGATGTTAGAGGTGTATGCTTCCAAGCCTGGAAAGTCTTTTCCAAATTCCTCCTCGTCGGAGACGACGAAAAGACGCTGGGCCTATATCGCTACCGCCAACACATATGCCAGCCGAGCGGCGCGAGTCTCCGCCACTACCTCAAACCCCTCGAGTCGCCCAACGTGGACTTTGTGACGCACCTGACCATCACGGGGTCCTGCTCCTTTGGCGAGAACGAACTGTTGGCGCTGCCTAGGCTCAAGAACCTCGCCATTCTCGAAATCATCGAGCCGGCGTCGTCGGCGTCGGCCATGATGGACGAGCAACAAGCCCCCAGCTTCCCCAAGGTCGACGACCGCCTCGTCAGGAGCTGGTCCGAGATGGACGATCCCTTCCCGCTGCTTCGTATTCTTCGTCTCTGGGGCGACGAGTCCGTCACGACGCACTCGCTCCGGTACGTGTCAAAGTTTCCCGCGCTGGCGCTGTACGACGTCAACGCCTCGAGGAGCGACTGGCGAGACGCCTGGGGCGCCGCGGAGGAGAATGGCTGGGACGTTGACGAGCCGCTGCACGGCCCGCACGATTCCCTGCTGTGGTACCTCCTACTCTTCGACGGCGCCGTCGAGGAAGGGGACAGCAAGGATGGCAACAAGCCGAGACAGCTCCAGGGCATGGCGCGCAACATCGACGACGGGCTGATGAATTTCTGCCAGAGCAGCAACCAGCCCATCACGATCGACGTCTCCTCCTCGGGCGGCCAGGACGCGCCCCCGTTTCTCGACCACCTCAGCGACGCCGCCAAGAGGAACCTATCCATGTACGTCGACGTGCCGGGATACGAGGCGCAAACCTGCAAGGGCTTCCCTTTTGAGACGTGGGGCTTCTGGCTGTACTCCTTCCTCGGCCAGCTCACGGGGGACGCGGACCTCAAGAGGGCGGGTCCGACCACGGGTACGTTACTCAAGGCGGTGTCGGAGCAGCTGGTGCTGCCCGCGAAGCCGCTCGCGTGTCTCCAACTAGGCCATTGCGGATCCGGCAGGCCGGGCATCACCCCAGCCGTTTCGTATGTGCGCCGGGGACTCTTCGCCACGTGCAGGTACACGTTCTTCAGGAGGTCGTCGGGGGCGACCAAGCAGGAGCCGGCACGGAAGCCGACGGAGTCGTTAAGGCCAAAGGTAGAACATGGAAAGGTCGAGACGGGGCTGAACCCGAATAGGAAGAAGAGGAGGAGGCTCGATGATATTCTGCAGTCTTTCATGGGTTCTTGAAGTCCGTTCCGATGAGAGACACGTACTTAGAGGGAAGCTAACGTTGCTACCGGACTCGACGGACTGAGTGTAAAAGGCCAGTCGCTCACGTCGAACTTGGTATTGGGAGAGAAGTGCCAACAGCGTCACAGGATTAGATATGATTATTTTTTACCGTTTTCATAAGCTGGCGTTTAGGTGCCTCGGGTTCGCCTACGGGCAAGGCAATTTGGGCATATGTAGTACCAATAGGATGGAAATGCAAAAATCATGGCTATCATTTTGATCCCTAAGCTTTGACGCCGTACTCTAGATGATGACAATGGCGTACCCATCGTGACGGGTATATACCTCCTCCACTGATTCGTTCATTCTCCAAGAATATCTCCCTCATACAATATGCTCCTTTTACAACATGGGCTTCAAGTCGTCGGCGACGGTGAAGGGCGCCTCAGTCTTGCTCTTGATCTCATCCACCGTAACTCCGTCCGCAATCTCGATGAGGGTCAGTCCGTTGGCGAAGTCGACGTCAAAGACACCCTACATGCCAAGTTAGTATAATGTCATCGTGCCACGTGAGCTAGGGTAGAAAGGGGGTAGAAAGAGACTTACCAATTCCGTAATGATTCTTGACACGCAGGCTCTGCCGGTCAAGGGGAAAGCGCACTGCTTGACAATCTTGGCGTTGCCCTTCTTGTCGGTGTGCTCCATGGTCACAACGACCTTGGTCGCGCTAGGGTTGCTGACAAGATCCATGGCACCACCGAAGCCCTTGACCTTGCCGGGCAACATCCAGTTAGCGAGGTCACCGTTGGCGCTGACCTGCATGGCACCGAGGATGGTGAGGTTGATGCGGCCGCTGCGGATCATGCCGAAGCTCTCCTCGCTACCAAAGACGGCGGCACCGGGCTTGAGGGTGACTGTCTCCTTGCCGGCGTTGATCAGGTCGGCGTCCTCGTTGCCCTTGGTGGGGTAGGGGCCGAGACCAAGGATACCGTTCTCGGACTGGAGCTGAACCTCGACCTCAGGGCCGACGAAGCCGGGTGCGAGCATGGGCATGCCGATGCCCAGGTTGGCGTACATGCCGTTCTTGAACTCCTTGGCGGCGCGGCGGACAATGAGCTCGCGCTTGGCAGCGGTGTCGCCAGTGCCGAGGGCCTTCTTGGCGTCGGCATCGTTGGGGTCCTTGGCGAAGGTGTACTTTTCAATGTTCTTCGGGGTGGTGCTCTGAATCACGCGCTTGACGTAGATGCCAGGCAGGTGGACGGCCTCGGGGGAGATTTCGCCGGGCTCGACAATGTGCTCGGCCTCGACAATGGTCATCTTGGCGTTGCGGCCCATGGCGCCGTTGAAGTTGTTGGCGGCCAGGCGGAACTGGCAGTTTCCAAGCTTGTCGGCCTTGTAGGCCTTGACGAAGGCGTAGTCACCGGCGATACTCTCCTCGAGGAGGTAAGACTTGCCGTTAAAGACCTTGACGTCCTTGGGGTAAGAGAACTGGTCGGGAGAGCCGTCGGCCTTGTTGCGAAGGGGCAGCTCGCCAGTCTGCACCACGGTGCCGAAAGCGGCCGGGGTGTAGAAGGCCGGAATACCCTTACCGCCGGCGGCGCAGCGCTCAGCGAGGGTGCCCTGGGGGGTAAGCTCAAGCTCAACCTCACCGGTGAGGTACATCTTCTCGAAGGTCTTGTTCTCGCCAATGTAGCTGGCAATCATCTTGCTGATCTGCTTCGTCTTCAGAAGCTTGCCGAGGCCAGAAGCATCGGTACCGGCGTTGTTAGAGACGGCGGTGATACCGGTGATCTCGGGCTTGTTCAGGACCTCGTCAATCAGGGTATCGGGAACACCGCAGAGACCGAAGCCACCGCAGAGGAGTGTGGAGTTGGGCTTCATGTCCTTGAGAGCCTCAGTAGCTGAGGGGTAGACCTTGTTGATCTCTGGCCTGCGCGCAGATGCCGAGAAGGCGCGGGCAAGGATGGCAGTGTGCTGATTGTCACGAGAGGATTAGTTTGAGCTACGCGGGCTGCCCTCTGGCACTTCCGGATCAATTGGACATACGTTGGAGCCATGGCGAGCGTAAGCTCGCAATGAGCGAGCACACAGAGCTGCTGAAGGCATCGTGGTGTGTGAGGGTGTGTGGATGGTAGTACGTGACTACAGAGGAGGGTTACAAGGGCCGGAGAGTATGGTTGAGCAACGGACTGAAGCACGTCACCGTACACAAGAGTGACAACGTCAAAGAAGCTATTGACAGGAGTTGAGACTGAAGCCGGAGAGAAGAATTGGGGAGGGAGGAGGAGAGAAGAAACGCCTTTCGTCACGAGGGATTCCGAAGGGGCCCCGGCCAATTTATTGCATCTACGTTTATCCCCCAGGACCTAGCTCCAAGACCGTGAATTGCCGCCGAGCGCAGTATGTGGGATGGATTGGGAGAGCGTGTCTGGGGGGTCCTCTGATTCCGCCCCATCCCTTCGGGATTGAGCTCGGCAAGAGGAAGGACGAGGGTTCGTTCAAGCTTGGACCTACCCACTGGCGAGTCTGAGAACCTACAGCAGACAAAGAAGCTCCAACTCTGGGGTCAATAGGTACCTTTTGGCTGTGTTAGCTAAGCAGTCACTGGCAGTCCCCCCTCTCATGTTCCGCGACTCGGAAAGTGGCGGGGCTAAATGTTCTTGCGGCCTGGGCTCTGGGGTGACGCCAAACTGGGAAAAGTCCACCTCCAGCTTTCCCCTTAACCCCGTCTGAACCCCGCAAAGACAATGCTGAGCCTCTAATGTAGAGAATGCATACCCAGTAGCACCTATGCTTTGTTTTGTCTACACCTTCCAAGGTTCTCTATCCTGCGTAGAGTACACAGTGACAGCATCGTCAGAGGGAAACCTCATTTCTAGAACATCAATCATACAGCTATGGATGAATAAGGGTAAACTCGGGGATCGGTTCGGGAAGCGGCGCCGTTTGCCGAAGACTCTGCCGAAGCGGAACAAAAGTCAGGAATTTCCAATCTCAGTTCCGAACAGGCGCTCTTGTCGGCCACTCTGTCCCCTCGACAATGTATTAATGCATAGTAAAAACCCCCAGGTCCCCGGAGGACCAACAAATTGTCACTGCGATACCGGCGGCATGCTCAACCCCTCGAGGCGCAGGCTGGCTCGCTGGCGAGGTTCAGAGCTCTGCGGTCCCCTGCGTCTGTCAACATTAGCTCCGAACCTTCGGTACGCAGTCCGGCACTCGAGCGGCTCGTTGCCATCCGATGTTGTGGAGAAACCCCCGGAGTGTTCCGCTAGCCTCTCTTCTGTATCCTCGGTCCTTGTTGCGATGCAACTGCTCCAGAAGAAAACACGGTGAGCCCCAAGAGGCAGGTCATCGTTGAATATCCAGATTGTACAGTCCATACACCGACATAGTTAAGCCAATTGATGAGACTGTCCTGTGTCTTCTAACATTTATCCAACCCCATGGCTGCATGGTTGGGTGCAGTATCCGCTGGATACCTTAGCCTTAGGTAACCAGGAGCGCCAGGTAGCTTATGGACTGGACGATTTAGAGGCGGGGTGTACGCGAGAAGATGCCCAGCGGCTGACTGGCGACTGGCGACTGGCGACTGGCGACCGCAAAGTTAAAGTGGACCCGTCGCATTGTCCAATGTCTTATCGGACAATCGGCCAGGGATAAGTTTTCTCCCAGCTCTTATCGGCTGCCCCACGCTCAAAAAATTTCCCAGCATCGCCGCGTCTTTGGTGCAGCAGTGGAATGGATCTGAGGTTGCGACCCGTATTGCTGTAATTCTGTACCATTGCGCTTGTCGGTCACGAATTGGACAGCCCACCCGCACATCATATACACCGGGCTGAACCGTTCAAGTTGCCAAAATGGAACAGAGCGCCAAGCGACGCAAGGTATCCCACAAGGGCGACTCCAAGATCTCTGCCAACATCGCGACGGCGAGTCCATTCGTACTGCAGACGGACGAACTGTTGAAGGAAGTCAAAGTCAACTACGCCGAGGCTCTCGATGGCGCCGACGCCCTGTTGCATAAGATCAGAAACTTGATTCAAGGAATTGAGTCTCACGGTCCTATTCCTGTTCGTAATCCCCGACGATGCTGCTTCCCCCACCAGGCAGAGGTTGTATTAACCTCGTTGTAGATCGCCGAAGCCACGCGCAAGTTCCAGAAGACGAACAAGGTCAAAATTCCCTACCCGGATCCGAAACCCGCCGACGATGCGCCGTACAAGCTGTCATACGAAAAGCCCGCCGCTTACAATGTCGTGGGCAGCTACGTCTCGAGGACGATGATCCAGGCTCAGGCCAACAAGGGCGTGGACATGATTGTGCAGATGCCGGCTTCGCTATTCCAAGAGAAGGATCACCAGAACATGCGGTACTTCTACCGCAGAGCCTACTATATTGCGAATATTGCAGCCGCTTTGCGCAAAGAGTTGGCAGGATCTGCCGACCTGGAGTTCGAGAATCTCAATGGCAATGCCCTTCTGCCTGTCCTCTCCATCAGACCCTCTTCAACATCCGAATCTTCAGAAAGCGACGAGAGCGACGAGAAGGCCGAATCGGGGTCTTCAAAGGCGGATTTCGTCATTCGGATCATTCCTTGCGCGCCCGAAGGTGTCTTCCCCAAGAAGAAGTTGCATCCCGCGTACAACAGCAACCGAAATGGGCAGCCGGAGAACGCCAAGGAGTCGACTGTGTCTACGCCCTTCTATAGCTCGACCATCAAGGCCGAAGACACCTTTGTCACGTATCTGCGGGTCCTCACTAGAGCCAAGACGGATTGCGCAGCCTTCGCAGACGCTTGCATACTGGGAAGAATCTGGCTCCAACAGCGAGGTTTGGGCAGTTCGCTGGCCAAGGGTGGATTTGGTCACTTTGAATGGGCAATCATGATGGCCTTGCTGCTGCAGACCGGTGGACGGAACGGTCAGCCGGCGCTTTCTTCGGCTCTGAGCAGCACTGAGCTATTCAAGGCCACTGTCCAGTTCCTTGCGTCTACCGAGTTTGCCAAGAAGCCCTTTGTCTTCGGCACGTACAAGCTGGGCGCTGACCTTATTCGGGAGAACGGCCCCGTCATGTTCGATCCCGAACGTGAGGTCAACATTTTGTACAAGATGAGCCCCTGGTCGGCGAGCCTCCTCCACTTCCACGCCAGCACCACCATGGAAGTACTTAACGACACTCTGGCGAACCAGTTCGAGCCGACCTTCATCACCAAAGCCGACTTGCCGCTACACCTGTTCGACAGCATTTTCGAGATCCAAAATGTGGACAGCAACTCAAAAAGCACCAACCCGGACCGGCGAGGTGCCGTCTGGGATCTGAGTTTCAAGGCCTACACCGTTCTGAAGAAGGCGTTGAAGGAAAGGTCACAGCTGATCCATTTCGCGAGCCAAGACCCGGCACCGTGGTCAATCACCAGCAACCAGCCCACGAACCTGTCCAACATCCAAGTTGGCGTCATCTTCGACCCTGCCAACATGGGCCGCTTGATGGAGTATGGTCCTTCGGCCGAGCTCGAGAAGGAGGCGGCAAAGTTCCGCAAGTTCTGGGGTGACAAGGCCGAGCTCCGTCGTTTCCAGGACGGCAGCATCCTCGAGTGCGTGCAGTGGACGAGGCAGACGTCTGCAGAAATCTGCGAGGAAATCATCCGGTACGCCCTCCAGCGCCACGTGAGCCTCGGCGCCGGAGATCTGCGCTTCCACGATGCCGATATCCCCCCTTCCCTGGACATCTCGCCCTTTGATAGGGAATCCTTTGAGGCAGCGAGAAAGGCCTTTAGCACGCTCGAGCAGGATATCCGCGGCCTGGAGGAGATGCCTCTCTCGGTCAGACAACTCGCCCCCGTCGTACCCGAACTACGATCCGCGTCGGTCACGCCGCCCTTTGCGCTCTCTCAGAAATCCGGCCCTCCGCCCATGGACGTGAACCTCTACTTCGAGGCATCCAGCAAGTGGCCGGAGAACCTCGTCGCCATCCAGGAGACCAAGATTGAGTTCCTTCTCGACATCGACCGTCGGTTACGCGCCGCCCACGATAACATCTCGACGAGCCTCGGCCGCGACAACGCAGCAAGGGACATTGACAACCTCGCCTACCTGGACATCATCTACCCGAACGGTGCCGCCTTCCGCCTGCGCATCTACGCAGAGCTCGAAGAGACCCTCCTAGACCGCCAGGCCAGGAACAAGACGCTGGACCCCCAGAGTAGAGTACAGGCCGAAGAGGCCCTCTTCAACCTCAACTGGCGCCACAAGCACCTGCCCCTCCACACGCAGACAATCACAACCTATTGCACCCGCTTCACCACCCTCTCCAACACGATCCGCCTCGTCAAGCACTGGTTCAACGCACACAAGCTCGCGGGCCACATCTCGGAAGAGCTCATCGAGCTCCTCGCCCTCCACGTTTTCCTCAACCCGAACCCCTGGAAGGTGCCCTCCAGCACAATGTCCGGCTTCCTCCGCACGATCCTCTTCCTCTCCCGCTGGGACTGGCGCGACGAGGCCCTCGTCGTCGACTCCTCCGACGATATGACGGCCGATGACCGCGCCGTCGCCCAGCATCACCTCGAGGCCTGGCGCGCCCGCGACCCGACAATGTCCCACGCCGTCCTCTTCGTCGCCACCCCGCACGACCACCTAGGCCTAGCCTACACCCGCCAGGGCCCCTCCAAGCTCCTCGCAACCCGCATGACCCGCCTCGCGAAAGCCGCCAGCAAAAAGATCAAGGAGCAAGGCATTGCGCTCGACGTCGCCGAGCTCTTCCAACCGTCCCTGGCAGACTACGACGTTCTCCTTCACCTCTCCACCTCGGGCCTGAAACGCGTCGCCCGCGACGCCGCCTCCGAGGCGGGCACCCGCACCTCCCTCTTCAAGAACCTCGACGAGCGGACGGGCAAGATCCCGCTGCCGCTCGCGCGACACCCGGCGACGGTCCTGTTGTCGGAGCTCGAGACGGCGTACGAGGATACCCTCGTCTTCTTCCACGGCGCGTCCGGCGACGCCGTCATCGGCGCCATCTGGCAGCCTAAGCTGCGCAGTCGACAAAAGTTCCGCGTCGGTCTGCCGTACAACTTTCACCGGGTCGAGGGCGACAGCGAAGACGACGATGAGGGCGATGTGGTTGAGGTGAACAAGCCGGCTGTGCTGCTGGAGATTGCTAGAATCGGTGGTGACTTGATCAAGAAGATTGAGCTCACTGAATAGAGAGAGACAGATAGGATCTACGAAATGTAGATAGTGTAATTTGGAGCATCATAGCGAGGTTAGGAAAAGTCCATGAGCATCAAAAGTCTGTTTTTTCACCATGTCATTGAAGCGTCTGCGCACAGAATCGCGGTCCAATTGAGTGATTACAAAAAGAAATTGTCTTTGGTCATGCTGATTATAGCCCTATTCAACCTTTGGTTTTTCCCTATCTGTAACGCCATGCCATGATATAAAATGCCTATGCACACCAACAAAAGACGTATACACAAAACATGCCCCTTTTCTCGTCACACACAACAAGTCCAAGCTAGTGTGTATCCATCCCGAAAATACCCCCGCTTCATCCCAGTTTCGTTGTATTCATTCTAGTATTTGAGCAGCTTTTGTTCCTTGCCGCTGTCGGCAACCTGCTGGGTAGAGAAGGCGCAGAACTTGTCCTTGATCGCGACCACCTCGTATGTACCTTCTTGGCTCGCGCGGATGATCTTGCTGCTTTCGTACGAGACGTCGTGGCGTGTCTCAAGGACCACGCTCTTCTGGCCCTTGCGGGCATTGGAGCTGCGGGTGTATGTGAATTCGTACGGCGGAGTGCCCCAGAACTCAAAGAGGATCTCCACTTCGTTGCCTTCATGGATATCCACACGAGTCTGTCGGCCCCTGCTGATCTTGACGGCGGGCAGAGGGTGAATGGTCTTGGTAATGTCGACAGAGGCGCGGCACTCCGAGGCCTTGTCAGAGATAGAGGTAATGGTAAATTCGCCAGGTGACTCAGCGATACGACGGAAGTTGGTTGTGCTAGACTTGGCCTTGCGTTGCTGGCCTTGGAAATCGTACCAAATCTCAAAGGGAGGCGTGCCGGAAAGCGTGTAGGCAATACGTTCACCGACGCAGTAATCTCCTCGGCTCTCCAGAGGGTAAATAGCAGGAGCGTCATGGAGATGAACCTGCACAGATGGCGCACCGATCTCGTACTTCTTTTGGCATCCACGAGCATCTCTAACCTCGCGGATGCGGACATGCTGGATTCCGAGGCGCAAATGCTGCCTGGGAATGTGAATGCCGTACGTGTTGCCCTGGATAGAAGGAATTCTATATGTTTCAGGGACAGTCCCACTGTGATGCTTGATCTCGATCTCAATGTAGAATGGAGCAACACCGTTCAAGGTGATAGGAATGGTGTCTTCCTTGTCTTGCTCGGTCTTGCAGTACTTGAACGATTGACCGGGCTTGACGAAGGCAGCCGATGGCTTGGCGTTGACCCTTTGGTCAATGATGAGAGACCGAGAGTTCTTCTCGCTGTTGTAGAGATTATCTGCGAGAGCGGAGAACTGGTATGTGTACTCTCCAGATTTGGAGGTGTCCATAGGAATGGACGCTTTGTTGAGAGATGTGTCAAAGTCCCTTTTGTTGGTCGAGGCATATCCCTGGGGAGGTTTGTGCTGAATGTTGTAGTCAACATGGAATGGAGCCGAGCCTTGCGAGAGTTAGCGAGATTTGATAATGGAGATGACGATTTGACTTACCCTTCAGGTTGACCTCGAAGGCATCGATATCCCCCTCACAAACATCACGTTTGACGTATTTACCCTTATCCAAAGTGATGGTATCAGACGGCACCACGGTGATCTCTGGACGAGGGTACCAGTCGACCTCAAACTTGGAAGCCTGAGGGTCCACAACACCAGGACACTGATTGTCTTTTACGTTGACGATCTCGTACGTGCCTCGGGACCTCACAGGAAGGACATCGTTGCCGTTCCGCAACGTCTTTTCGTAGATCTCATCGCTTCCATCAACATTGCGGTAAGAAACCGTCCAAGGTCCTTCGCCTTGAAGACGCAAAGGCAGCTTGACATCGGCGTGTTCGATGACCTTGGTGATGCGCTTGTTCTCGAGCAAGCCAAATGCTGCGCGGGGCCGCTGGCGCCTAACCGAGATCTTGAGCTCATCCTTCAGGAACGTGCGACAGCCAGACTTATCCTGGACGCTGTTGAGAGCGAGTGTGTACTCTCCGCCCTTGGCAAGAGGCTTAGTCTTAATCTTGTATGATGACCCCTCGATGTCGGTGACACGCTCAGATTTACGCTTTCCATCGTGTACAAGCTCCCATTCGAGCGTGAAGGGGGCGTCACCGAGAAGGAGGATGTCGACTTCAACTTCTTGTTCAAGACAGGCGCTCTTGAGTCCGGTTGGGTGCGAGATGTGTGCAGAGGCGGCTGGCTTCACGTCCGTTTCCAACGTCATTTCGGGGCTGAGAGGCTGGCCCTTGTAGATAGCATCATCAATCTGCTTGAAGATGTACTTGTGGTGACCAGCAGCAGTGGGTCTCAGTTCGACTTGTTGTCTGAGACCCTTTGCTTCGACCCGCTCGTGTCGGGTCTTGCCCTGCTCGTCAACGACGTCGTATCGAACCACAAACGGTGGCGTTCCGATGAAGTCCAGGTCAACTCGGAGTCCCACTGAGTTACCTGCACATTTGTCGGGAATCTCCTCGGAACGGAGAGCAAGCTGGGGCTCGAGTGGGTTAAGCAACAAGCAAGACGACGGTTCCTGCACCTCGCCTTCGCACGAGCCACTGGAAACAGATTTGAGTGTGTAGAGACCAGGCTCCGAAACATATGGCTTGTCGTGGGAGTTGGCTGCGGTGAAAGAGCCCAAGGAAACCTGATCGCCATGGTCTCCGCTGTTGGTCAAAGAGTCGATGGGCGAGAACTCCCAAGTCAATGTGTGCGAAGTATCCGGGTTCTTACCGGCTATCGAGAAACTGACTGGAAGTCTCGCCTTTTGGCCCTTGGCAACCTTGACCGGTCTGCGTAGGTCACAATCTTGTAAGCGAGCTCTGGGTCGCTCCTTGACGAAGAAGTTGCGTGCCAGATGCTTAGGCCGAGGACGCACTTCCGCATCTTCGGCAGACGGAGCGTACTTCTGCACGTTGCCGAAGCCATCCGTAACCTCGTCTACGGCGTACTGCCACTGTCCTGGGCTATCCAGGGTCTCGTTGATCCGCACAGCCACCGTATGGGGCTTAACCCAGGAGATGTCTTCATCACCAACATGAGTCAACGAAGAAGATGGTGTACCGAGTAAAGGCGAGGTATAGTCTTCGGGCTGCAGGCTCTGGAAATGAAAGCTGCGATCGTTGTCTTTTCCTGTCCGGCTGTAGACAATTTTCAGGGGCGGCGTTCCGGTGACGTCAACAAGCAAGTTGGACAAGTCCCTGATGCACCGGTCCTCTGTATCGGGCGTCCGGAAACCTGCCTTCGGGCACGGCACTACATAGGTGTCCCTCGTTGTGCGTTGGACCTCAAGCTTGTACTCATCGAGAACCTTGCCCAGGCGGTACACGCCAGTTTTCTTGACTGGGTACTCGATAGAGTGGGCCAGTGGGTTTGATTCCGCCGTTTGGTCCTTGATCTGCTTTGCGATTTTGCGAACCTCCCTAGTGGACAGCTTAATCGTTTCTTCCAGATTGGTATCGAGGTCGATGCGGATGAGCTCCATCTCAGCAGGCACTGTAGAGTTGAACTGTATGGGCAGTCGAATAGTTTCGCGCCCTTCGCCAATGCAGAATGGAGTTTGCTCGAAGTTTAGAACCGCAGAACTTGGTAGACCATGTTAGCAAAAGAAACTGCGCTATTGTGCCTTGTTGGATTCTTACCCTTCTGGCAAAATGTTGATAATCTGTCTGCCCATGATCAAGGAATGATTATGCAGAATGCTTGAAACCTTGACAGTGTTCTCGGAGACAGCCAACTCTCGGTCGTAGAAGACCTTGAGGAAGCCAATGAGCCATGGTTGCAAGGGGAGCTATTTGTGGTTAGCCTAGCCTCAGAAACGGCACACAACCTCCTGTACATACCGGAATATTGAACATCAACATGAAGTTGAAGAAGGCGTGAATGAGGAAAATTGCCGTGACTACAGGCTGCGACAACTCCAGCCATGGTATCCTCATCTCCGGGAGGCCAAAGAGAAAGCCAAAGTCGATAAAGACCCATTTCAGGAATAGCCATGCCGATGTATCGTTATCCTCCACAAGCTTAATCCAGTCGTAGAATCGCCATGCCAGCAACCCAACGTAAATGGCAAAGGCATAGAAGCGCTGTTGCGGAGCATCGAGGATGGTCAATGGAATGACGGGCGCGGTCGCAGGGCCATTTCGAGTCGCACTCTCGGGGGCTTGGGGAAGCGAAGATGTGCGGTGACTGCTCTTCTGGGAGGAAACGGAGGAGTTCGGGTCGGGATCCTGTCGTCGGGCTGGTGTTTGTGGAAAGCCACCAGTCCGCTGTCTCGGTGTTGCGCTCATCGCATGCCGTTTTCAAGGTCGCCTCATAAGAATCGGGGTGTGTTTAGTTTGCCGATGATGGGTGGAATCTTACGCTCCGAGCGATGGGAAGGGTTGGCGTCGGATATTAAAAGGGCTTGCCCGGCGTTGCAAGCTATTGTTGACGTCGTGGAGGTATGGAACTTGGAAAGCTGCAGCGGGAATCCAAAAGCTTCAAAATTTCCAGTGAATGTTCGTCACGTCCAAACGCGCCTGGCAACAACACCCACCCGGTGTGTATCTATGTGCTTTGATTGGTGTAGAGCTGGTCTGGTGGAACCACCTTGGGATACTAACAGGGCCTCAGCTCGATGACAGCTGGCGGACAAGGCACATACGCTGTGTGAAAGCTGAGAGGATCCGCCTTCCTCCTCTGTTGACGTAGGTAGCTGGGGAGCTGCAGCCTGCCCGTTGTCGATGGACGATCCCCGCCGTGTTCTGAAGCTTATCTTGACACAATATCTGTACCGCCGCCTCCTATCACCAGCCGTGTAAACCCAAAGTGAGCAGAAAAGTTACAACCCAGTTACCTTGGCTCAATGAAAGAGGTCAATTCATCCATCCAATGTATAGTCTCAAGTAGATAGGAGGCTCTCCGAGAAATGCATATCCTCCCAAGTTCTCAAGCCGTCACATGTCATGGAGGTAAGTCAGCATCGCATCTTCTGTCGTCAACTAGGTGATATTTTTACCCTGCGTTACTACAACAAAGAATGATCTCTTTTTTTTTTTTTTTTTTTTTTCATCTTGTCATGTCGCTCCTTCCACAATGAGAGCATCAAATAAGGCCTGGTCAATGGAACTCTTGTTTCGAGTTCCAAGGCAAATGTCCTATTCGTAGACCCCCTTCACATTGTCCTTGGTCCTCAAAGGCAACCTTGGGTCAAAGGCACCTTCATTTAACAGAATCAACAACGAAATGTTTGCCCATCATCAGTAGACAAGGTCTCCTACCTTTTTCTTCCCTTTTAATCGATTGACAACCGAACACCATCTTCATTTTAATCCCCTTATTATCGCCCTTTCTCTCCACTCACCACTGCCTATATTCTGCACCACTTGCTTAATATCAGCTCTTTCTTTCTACGAGCTTCCGACAGAATCACTCTTCACTTTGATTTCTCATTCGAAATCATCAAACAAGCGACTGAAGCCATCACACCACAAGGCATTGATCAGCATGGCCTCAGTAGCGCCTGCGCCTGCTAAGATGCCTCGAAGGCAGCTGCGAAGTCGCCAGGCAAGCGCAGCAGTCGTGGTGCCTCCAACGACCAAAGCCCAACAAACATCTGACGTACCTTCACCTATAGACCACGAACGCGACACCCACGCAATCAAATCCAGCCCGCAGGAAGCCGACGTGGCTCTCGAGGTAGCAGGCGAGCCGGATTCCTCGCCGGAAACCGGCCGGCTGCGGAAGAGAAAGGAATCGCCCTGTGAGGCTGACGATGAAGCTGACGGTGAAGCTGTCGCCATTGCTATGACCGCCGGCTCAAGGCGGAATCCTAAGCGGAAGGCTACCGAGACGGCTGCCGCCTCAACATCTGCTGCCGCTTCTAGGGAGTCGAGAGACTACCAGACGCTTCTCCGTGAATCTCTGGCGCCACTGGGCGAAGACGAGCTCAAGGAGTGGGAGGGCTGGTGTGAGGTGGAATCTGAACCTGTAAGTTGACCCGCGCTCCCAAGTATCTATCCCAGCTTCGATCCTCTGACTGATGCTAATTTTGTTAGGCCTTCTTCAATGCTATGTTGAGAGAGATGGGCGTCAAGGATGTCAAGGTCCAAGAGGTCTTTGCGGTCGATGAAGACTACGTGGCGACTCTTCCACAGCCCGTCTATGGTCTCATCTTTCTCTACCAATACTTCTCTGAGAACTACGAGGACGACGCGGTCGTCGACAGCCGCGACGTTTGGTTTGCAAATCAGGTATGGCTCTCTCACGTGCCCCTCTCCTTCCCCCCTTCGACCGCAAAGAGATACTCACACAAAGCTTCACAGACGACAGATAACGCCTGCGCAACCGTCGCCATGACCAACATCATCATGAACAGCCCGGGAGTCGATATAGGCAAGGACCTCCAAGCCTTCAAGGATTCCACAAACACCCTCAGCACCCCGCTCCGCGGCCACGCCCTGGGCTCAAACACCTTCATCCGCTCCGTCCACAACTCCTTTACCCGGCGAATGGACCATTTGAACGCCGACTTCGTCCTCGAGACCGAGGCGTCAGAGTCCAAGAAGAAGACAAAGCGCAGAGGGCCGGCAAAGAAGACAAAGAAGAGCAAGAAGCAAAAGATTGACGAGTCGGGATTTCACTTCATTGCCTACGTACCGGCTAACGGCTCGGTCTGGGAGCTGGATGGTCTCAAGACGCGGCCCGTTTGCATCGGACCCCTCGAGGAGGGCGTCCACTGGGCCGAACTGGTCCAGCCCGAGATTCAGGCTCGTATGCTCCAGTTTGAGGATACCGCCCTCACCTTCAACCTCCTTGCGCTCTGCAAGAGCCCGTTGGGGATCTTGTCGGGAGAGCTCGCGAGCACGCTCCGCTCTTTTGAGGTTTTGAAGAAGCGCACCAAGGATCTCGACGGCTGGCAAAGTCTCATCGCCGGCAATGACCAGCCTCTGAAGAGCTCTGAGATTGAGCGTCTCGCCGGCTTCGGCATATCAGGGTTGGATATACAACAGGCGCGCGTGGACCCAGCGTTCGAGAGAAAGGTCAAGAAGCCATCCACAGACATGGTGGAACTCTTCAATCTCTACGATGATCTTGTGACGAAGCAGAAGTCTCTGATCGGAGAGTACAACACCGAGATCGGTTTTGTGAATGAAGATGACGACCGTGTGCAGGGGAGGAAGAAGGATCACACTCCTGCGATCCATTCCTGGGTGCAGAAGCTGGCGGAGCACGGTGTGCTCGCGGATTGGGCGGCCAATTCCTAGGATGACTTGTAAAAAGAAGAGGCTAGAGTAAGATAGCACAGGACTGCGAGGGATCGATATCGAATTTGCACTTCGGGGGCGTTTACGGTCTGGAAAAAATTGTCGATGGTTTTGCATGTGGCTTCGGCAAAGCAGCAAGTCTATTCACGTACAGGTACATAGCCTCCATAACCATGCCTTTGTAAAGAGGCGGGACAAAGGGCATACGGGTGTGCAAGACGTAAAAATTCATTATTATTGTTCTAAGGAGTAACTTCTCGTGAATTACGCCAATCATGGTAAAGCCTCAAATCGCTTTCCCCTCAGCCATCGATACCCACAATGTTCAGTGCTTACACTGGCGTGTAGACCACCTCGTTGTTGGAAGGGATGAAGGTGCACCTTTCTCTGTCAAATCGCTTGAAGAATAATCCAGTGTCGGGGAACAATGCCGCTTCTGCCTCTTCAGGATCGCGCACGAGTTCAAGGCTTGAGGCCTTGACCAAGGAAAAGGTTCCTTGCATGTTTGGGGGAGTCCTGATGTTTTGTTAGAGATTTAGCCATTGTTCGTCAGTCTCGTCTGTCAACTTACAATAGCCTGTAATAGAGGACTGACCCCTGAGCCATCTCCCCGTCAGTCACAACCCCAACAAAGCCGTATCTGCCATGCCGGACAACATTGCCGATCTTGTACTCCAGATTCATCTGTGAGTCACGTAGCACAGGGCGCTGCTCATCTGCCCGGCGAATGAGGCGAAGGATATATTCTGGGTTTGGAGCAGCAAGAAATACATCGCCATGCGGTTGCGGCCGAGTAATGTAAATATTTTCCACAATCCAGGCGTCATCGAAGCGCAATGAGTTGAATCGTAGTGCGAAATGCGATGTCACGTCAACAAAAGCATCCGGGTCCAGGAGAGTTGTTGCCCAGGCAGCAGCATAGACAGATAGTTCAAGGTTCTGGAGAGCGATGCCAGCCCCGAGTCCAGCCAGTCTCTCTATAGACACGTCCTGAGACGTGTAAACGAGGTTGGTATGCCGTATATTGTGTGCGAGACGCCCAATCATTGTTGATACGGCTGCCGGTGCCATTGTTTCGACATCTAGACTATGCCACCCGACCTGGGCAATGAACTGTCGTAGCGTCTCCTTGCTGAACTCTTCATCGCCCCCGTATGGATCCAGATACATCCTCTCAAGTTGCCTTGATGGATCCGTGACTCTAGAGCCATCCAATCTGAATTCTGGCGTCGCGAAGACCATCGAAAGCACATGGCCTGGTAGCGCACAACAGTGGGCATTCAATCCCAGCCTCTCGCCAACGCAACAGAAAATGGCTGCTGAAACCATTGGAAGTGACTGGTGGGCTGATGTTCGCAGCGCATGACCAAGGAGGCAGTTCCGCAGATTGCGATAGTTGGTTTCAGGGTCGACCATACCGGTGAGATTGTTGGATCTAAGCCAACGATTCAGAGCCAATGCCCTTTCCCGAACACAGAGCCCATCGAATTCGGGATGACTGTTCCGAAACTCGGCTGCGAGTTTGTCAAGAAGCTTGGAAACCTGCCATAGGGGTTAGTCAAAGAGGTATAACATAATAGCCCCTTAGAAGACCTACGTGATCTATATCACCCTCATCGTCCTGGATGACAAACATATCAAAAGCAGCAAGTGCGCGCTCTAACCTTCCAGGCACAACTTTCGGAACATGGTTGGGTCTCCAAGCTTCGCGTGCCTCATCACTGCGAAGGTTGTCCCAAATTTGGATAGCGGTCCCACGGCGCATGCTAGCGAGAATGGCATTACTGAAATACCTGGGCGGAGCTGATCAGAAAGCGCCAACAAACGTTGCGTCGAAAGCTACCTACCTTCTGGCCAAAACATCTTCGAATTCATCTGGGGTCTGCGCCTGATCCAAGAGAAAGTCCTTGGCGTCAAGACCAAGCAAGCAGATCTCTTCAAAATTCTTTACTCGACCATATTTGGTTGCCAAAATTCCACTGAACTGGCTTGCAGCTTTAGCATTTCTTCTCTTGCGGAATAGAAACAACTGCTTCCATAGAACGTTGGATGGAGACTCTTCCAGTTTCTCGTTGAACCTGTGACTTGGATGCCAGAACTTGAACGCGTGCAAACAGTAGTATCGCCACAAAATCGGCTCATTGGAAAGCCGGCGCAAACGTCTCGACAGGAGGTTCGCTGTGATTAAGTTGTCCTCTGGTGAAATGTAATGTAGTATTTGGTGGATGATTTCATCTGGAATTTGGTCAAATGAGAGCATTGCGGCAAGAGCCTCATGCGCACACTATGAATTCGACGGGTAAGGAAAACTGAAGAAGACCAGGATGGATGCTGTCGCAAGCGTAGTCGGGGTAAGTTGGTGGGGTTTGCGGAGGACTTATACAGCTAGATAGAGTAGAGTCTTGATACCTATGAGAGCTGTGAAGATGACTTCAAGTGGTGAGATAAAATCGATAGCAGTCGTCTCTGTGAGTTGGTCATCCCCGGGCCGGTTTGATCGAAGGCAGGTAGTGACGTTTTGACGCTTGCGGTGTGAAGTGGTTGCATCACAAATCAATGGGAGGTTCTTTCCCACTTGTATCCGTAGTGTCTCAAGCTGCCCTGTGGAAAGAAGCAAGGTCCACCACGTCCATTGACGTTTTGTCGTCAAAAAGTGGGACTCTGTCATGGGATTCTTAAACTGCGGAGACCTTGCTGTTTTCTCTCATTTGATTGGACAAAAGTTCATTCCGCTTATTGGTCTAAAAACCACGACTTGTTCCCTCTCTGTCCCACCACGCTAGTCCAAGATAGGAACACGAGTAAACAACACTCACAACGCGGTCTGGGATGCGACCGTGTACCCTTGGTCCCTTGCTGCTCTTTCAAAGTCCCGTCCACTATCAACACCGCGACCGACCAGGTTCTGAGCTATCGCAACCACACGAGATCTTATAGCTACGCAGACATTGCGCTTGCTTTCTTGCTTCACACCACCACAGCGCACGCCATCCATATATACCACTAACAAACCACTGTTATGACCACACCTACGAGATCGCAATTCTAATCGCTCGTCGACTTCCCCCCCTCTATAAGTCAAACGCGGTCAAGATGGTCGCCCCAGGTATTGGCGGCCTCGACACGCCGCGAACAAACCTTGGCGATGCGACATACCTTAGCCGACAACCCGACTTCGACATGTCGCAAGAGGTTTCTTTCCAGTCTCCTCCGGCGAAAGACAACAACTTGGTGCAACAAATGCGCAACGGGCGCTCGGCAGGCATCAACCTTCGCACGCCGCGGGGTCGCGGACCCTTTGCAGACCGAAAAAACCTACCTGCAGGCCTCGGAGGAGCAGAATTCACTCCTATGCTGAAGTCAGCCACGAGGAATAGCATCCGTCGAAGGTCTGGCAAGGAGAATGGCTTCGTGCCGAACACGCCCGCACTGAACAAAATCGACGAGGACATGACGCCAATTCCCAATATCGACACCTCCATGTACCAATCCCGGTCCTTCGTGGATCGCACGCCACTCCCCGAAGTCGACAGCACGAGCACTGCGTCTACACCGCTTGTAGTCTTGCCGCGACGCGACGGAAAAGGCCCTCTGCAAGACGGAAACCAGTTGTCGCTTCGGGAGCAGGAGAGCGTAATCGATAAAATCGAAAAGGAAAACTTTGGCCTGAAACTCAAGATTCACTTCCTCGAAGAGGCTTTGCGGAAGGCCGGTCCCGGCTTCAGCGAGGCGGCGTTAAAGGAGAACACCGAGCTGAAGGTCGACAAGGTGACCATGACGAGGGAGCTTCACAAGTACAAGAAGCACCTGACATCGGCCGAGAAGGACCTCGAAAGCTACCGACAACAGATGATGGAGTTACAAGAGAGGGCCAAGAAGAAGTACGCAGACCAGAAACAACTAGCAGAGATTGAGCGACTGCAGCAAGCTTTGGAGGACAGAGAAGCCGATCTCGACGACATGCAGCGCCAATTGAGTCAGGGACAGCACGATCAAGGGCAGGTGGACAAACTGCAAGACGAGATTGGCGATTTGGAAGCAGAACTTCGCGAGAAGGAGCGCCTTCTAGGAGACCATGAGGACGAAATTGACGAGCTCAAGGCGAAGCTGGACGACGTGGAGGACAAGATGAAGGATGCCCAAAGACGAATGATCGAGCTTGAGCAACAGGGACAGTCCAACGATGATTTAGAGGAAGCAAGAGATACCATTGACGATCTGGAAACCAATGTCCGTCGCTTGGAAGAGCAAGTCGAAGAGATGAAAGACAAACTCAACCAGGCCATTGCAGACAAGGAGCAAGCAAAGGGTGATTTGGAAGAGCTTCAAGAGGAGCTGGCGAATAAGTCAATTGCCACGAAGGGGCTCTCGCGACAAAAGGAGGAGAAGCTTTTGCGCCTGCAAGCTGAGCTAGAGGAGGCCGACACAAGATTCGCCAATATCGAACGGCAGCTTTCCGAAACGATCAAGGAGAATGACGAGCTCAAGAACGCTGCCAAGGAAGATCGCCGTGCCCGCGAAGTCTCGGAGCGCGACTACCAGTCACATTTGGCCAGAATCGAACAGCAGCTCTCCGACGTAACGAAAGAGAAGGATAGCTTTAAGAACGCCGTGCATGAGGGCCGTCAAGAACGAGAATTCTCTGATCGCGAACGCCAGTCGCTGCTGGCTCAAGTGGAAGATCTGAAAAGGGACTTGGAGTCCAGGCTGGACGAGAAGAATATGCTGCAAAGTCGTCACGAGGCCTTGACAGGCGAGTCTGACTCTCTACAACGAGACGTGGCGCGTCTTCAAAAGAACGTGGAAGATTTGGAGGAGAGCCTCGCCCAAGAGCGGGACCATGCCCTTGAAATTGAAAGGGATATCCGCAGCCAATACAGAGACGAAATCGACAGGCTTAACGATGAAATCTCGGACCTCCAGGCTGAAATTCGGGAGAAAGACAACCTCTACGACAACGACAGCGAAAAATGGGAAACAGACCGCCAAACCCTGGATTCGGAGCGCAAACGGGCGGAGGAAAAGGCCTCGGGCTTGGAAAGGACGATTGCAGCTCTGCGCGAGGCTGAAGGCAATCTATCAACAAAGGAATCAAGATTGCAGGAAGCACTAGAGAGCGAAGCTCAACGTCACAAGGACGAGAGAGCATCCCTCACAAGGCAAATTGAGGACCTCCAGCAAAATCTCGAGACACGGCAGTCTATGCTCAATGAGTTGCGGAGTGAATTATCTCAAGTTCAGGATGAGCTCCGACAAACTCAACTAGACTACCAAGCGCAAAGCGAGAAGATTGAGGGGCTGGAGGATGAAGTTGAGGTCCTTCAAACGACTTTAGACGAGGAATCAGAACATTCTCGCGAGGAACTGGAAGCTGCAAGGAAGGAATGCGACGCGCTGAAGCTGGAGCTCGATGAGGTACACCGTGGTACGGCCTCGGTCTCTCAAGAGAACGCCAGCAAGTCGAATCAAGCCATCGAGCGACTCCGAGTTCAGCTTGACGAGGCCACATCACTCGTGTCGAAGCTGAACAAGGAGAAGGAATCACTCCAAGACAGGCTGCAAACCCAAATCTCCGAGTCGACTGTGCAGGTGAATAGGGTGTCTCGCGAGAAGCAGACGCTGCAAGATCAACTTGCGAACCTCAACCTCGAAATGCACTCCTTACGCAGCTCATTGGCCGAAGCAAGGGCAGAGCGTGATGAGGTTGAGAGCGAAATGAAGCGCTTGCATCAGAACGGCGAGGAGACCCTCCGCATCGATCGAGAGCGCCTGGACTTGAGGACATCAAAGTTGAAGCTTGATAACGAGGTACGAAGACTCAAAGACGAGAACGCGGCTTTGGCGGAGCAAATGCAGAACGTCGAAAAGTCTCTCGAAGACGAGATCGAAAAAGCCGCAGAAGAGGAGGATCGCCTCAACCAGGAAATTCGCCAGCTTCAAGCCAAATTGAGGGAGGTGTCTTCATCAGAAGGTCACGAATCAGTTGCTACACGACGCACAATACGAGAACTCGAACGGCGAATCAGAGACTACGAAGACCAGCTCGCGACGACTCAACAAATCCCTGCTAACATCGGTGAGGGTAACAGCGAGATGTCCATTATTCGCCGCGATCTCTCTACAGCACGACAGAAGGAACGCGAGCTCCTCCAACGTGAGGCAGCCCACAAGGACGTTGTCAAGGGTCTCAAGAAGCAGATCGCAGACCTGGAGCGCAATGCCCACGATGCTGAGATGTCTCGGCTTATTACATCTCCAGCATCCTCCAGTCCTTCAGCCAGAAAGTCCGAAGTCACTGAGCTGCGCCATCAACTTTCTACCGCACAGCAATCGATTCAGACGTTCAAGACCAAGGCTCGCGAGGCCGAACGCAAAGCCTCTAAATTCGAGCAAGATGTGCAAACCCAGCTTGATGATCTGGAAGACCAGAAGCTTGCTTTGGAGCAGGCACTGGAGGATGTCCAGCGCGATGCTGACGAAGCTACCGTTCTCCACGAAAAGGCACTGCATCGTCTGAGGCAGAAGCTTGAGAAGGCAGAGCAAGACCGGCAGCTTGTAAGCCACGGCCGTCACAACATCGAGAACATGTCGTCCTCCGAGAAGAGAGACCTCCAGGAATTGCTCCGCAGAACACAAAGCGAAGCAGACGCTCTCGAACACGACGTCATCCAGCAGCAGGAGACTATTGATGAGCTGACGGCCGCCGAGGGCTCGCTTCGTCGCAAGCTCGAGAGGGCGCGGGCGGAGCGCGCAGCCTACCGCCTGACCGCAGAGAAGCTGCAAAAGGACATCAGAGACCTCAAGGCGCTGGCCGCAGCGGAGAAGAAGAACCCGCGGGCAGCCCGACTCGCCGCCGAGACGGACGAGAGGATGAGGCAGACGGACGAGGCGCTCGAGACGGTCATCCGTGCCGCCGAGAATGCGGACGCGAAGCACACCAAGGAGCTCCGCGGCATGACGCTGCAGATGGAGTGGATGCAGGCGCGGTGGAAGCGGGAGGTCAGCATGCGCGCCGACGCGGCGTACGCGAAGAAGTTCTTGCAGCTGGAGCTCGACATTGCCAACGCATGGTATGTACCCTTGACTGCCTTCTTCTTTTTCTTCCCTTCGGTGGTCCAGATATTAACGTCAGAATCAGCAACAAGGCTCAGCTGCGTGAACTGGAGCAGATCCGGTGCGAGCTGCTCGGCAGCCGCAGACCCCTCCCACCCTCATCCTCCTCGGCGACGGCGAGGAAGCAAACAGCGTCCGGCCGACCGACGCTCAAGACGGTGGCGACGATGGCACGCTTCATTGCCAGAATGCAGATCTCGGCGCGCGAATGGGCCAAGCACGAGGCCACGCGCCAGAAGCTGGCCGACTGCGTCGACGAGATGCGCAAGACCAAGAGGCGGAAGCAGCTCAAGGTCGTGCATGCCGATGACGACGTTGCGGCCTAATGATTTGTTGGTCACAGTCTATCTCTCTCTGTCTCGATTCGGTCTCGCCTAGCCTCGACTTGGAGGTCCAGTCAGATTATGTTACACCCCTAGATACCCCGGAGTATGGTGTTCCCGAAGCAAAAAAACGGTGGATGGATGGGATGGTGACTGGTGGATGGTGAATGGCGGTTCGGATGTCTGCGAGAGTAACGCTCATCTGCGAAACGCCTTCCCCATTCATCACGCTGCAGCCGAGCTGAAGATGTCGCGGCATCATCTCGGGTCCATCACACCCATGAACACATCCCATCCAATACCCATCCAATCCCGCTCTTCACCTACTTCCCTCATTCAGCACATCCGCATTTCGCATTTAGCATATGGTGTTCAGTCTTGTATTGTTTCTGCATAGCAACAGCCGGTTGTGTTACAGTATTACTGCCTAACTGCGTGACGACCAAAAAAAAAAACCCTTGATGTTGCAGTGAAGCGAGCGAGCGGGCACTCTCATTTCCTCTTTTGGAGCTGATGATTATCCATATTTGGAAGATGGGATCTGCAAGCTAGCCCAAGATTGGACGGAGGATCACTTGAGCTGGGAGGAGAAGGAATATCGGGATGATTATTGGTCCATGCTTGGCATACCTTGTTGCTGCTCATGTCCCTCTTCTGGCGTATTGGGCGTCGAGCATCAAAACATTTGTTTTTCCCTTAAAGTTTGTTTATTGGTAGAATGACGGACGGGGACGGGATGGGAAAGGAGTTTTGTCATATTTCACTTTGTTTGGATTTACGCAGTAGGACATGCATTTTCCAAACACGGCATTAGGTTGCATGATGAAGAAATTGGAAAGGAAGGCATGAATACCTAAACAGATGTTTAATCCCTTCTTTTTTACACACATGGTGACATTTCCGGATTCGTCCCGTATTGAAGTGACGTGAATCAACTTTTTGTTTGATTTCCAATTCCGAGAACTGTTCGAGTGAGGGTAGGTACTTGCCATCTCAACTATACGAGAGGCGGGAAAAGGCATCGGGAGTGTGGCGAAGAAGACTTGCCCGAAAAAAAAAACAAAATGAAGCCACCCAAATGATACCCAAAATCCCCAATTTTCGCCATGCCAACCGATTCCTTTTCCAATGATGACCTATGCCTACCCATGTCTAAGCAACCCTGAGTATTTATGTTTCCAGGCCGAAGTAGGGCATTATGACATATACAAGGCGGACCGGCCGTGTGACACACAGGATTATGATTTACATGACGAACAAGAGGTTGGTGTCTACGATGATATTAGCCGTCTTGATAACATGGATGTTTATTCGCTCCTTCTTTTGGCCGCGGGGGGGGGGGGGGCAACATACTGAGGGGGTGACTGCAGGAGAGCTGAGGCTTCTGCGTGTAGCGAGTCGAGAGCTCGTCACGGATACTGTTCAAGAGCTGCACGTAGCTCTGTTGAGGGTTCTTCTTCATGGCCGTGATAAAGGCCCATGACATGGCACCGGTAGCCTGGGAGGCGATTGTTGCATCGGCCCTGCGAGGTGAAATTAGCATAGATCCAGCTTGCCAACAGCATTGTAAGATTTCGCCTTGATGTAGTCGTCGTTCCCACACTCGTGGACCGAGGCAGATCCAACGTAACTCATCGCTCTAGAAGCAAACTGCGGCCGCAAGTGGGCTGCAATTTGTTCTAGAGCAATAAAAGAGCATCGTTGGCCTGATGCAACAGGTATAAAGTAGAAAACATGAGAGGGATTTATCCACAAAGCAGCTTGCACGCCCCAAATTTTTCCGTTTTTGCGGCTTTCGCCCCCAGTCTCCAGAATTAGCCATCCCACCAGGAGAGGCTTCACAATCAGGGGGTTCTAATGTGAAATCTCCAGGCCATCCGTAAAGCGCAGTGAAAACAAAAAGGGTATCATCAAAATAGAAAGAAGGGGGTAGCATACGAAGTTTGGTCATCTTTACTTCCTGATAACATAACCACATCAGCAGGCGACGTCTTCGTGGCCATGGTGCGTTGGTAAGCATCTTCGCCAGTCGTTGCCTTCTTGAAGAAGCCCATGATATTGCTTGCAACACCGCCCAGATCGCCCTGGCTGTATGACGAAATAGCACCAAGTAGACCTTGGCCGGCCTCCTTGGCCAAATTGGGCTCCTTGAGAATACCCTGGGTCGAGTAGATGTAGGGGAGATCGAGTGCAGTACCCGAGTGACAAGAATCGAAGATAGCAGTCAGCCTCACGCCAGCCTGCAAAGGTTGAACCATGATTCTGTGCATCTCATCATCCGTAATATGACCGGTTTGGCGGAAGTCTACAGGGTAAATGACTTCATCGTATCCGTCGGGCTCATCGCCGTCGAGATCCTTTGTTTGACCACCATGGCCTGGAGGTATTAGTGTCTAAGTGCATATGGCAATGTCGTTCGCCACTTACCTGAGTAGTGGAAGAAGAGCGAGTCGTTGGGTCTCGCGTCTTTCACAAGCCAATGCATGGCTCTGAGAAGATTCTGTTTTGTAGGCTGGCTCATGGGATTTTGCTGGTCATCAGTGAGGATAACCATATCCTCCCTCTTATACCCAAAACGGTCGACGAGATATGCCGACATGTTCTTCACATCGTTGATACAACCACGCAGCTGACCGCGTTGACCGAAGTAGTTGATGCCAATCAGTAACGCCTTTCTCCGGCCAGTGCAATTGGAGTACTGGAAGTTGTAGTTGTTTGGCGCGCCATGTCCAAATCTCTGCGGTTGTGAGGGTGGCGGTGGGGGAGCGTTGTGGTTTCCGTGCATGTAAGCATTCGAGTTCACGGTGGGTACACCTTCATAACGATGATTGTCAACTCTACAATGTCCGTTCCGAGCGTACAAGTTTCAAACTCACCTGGACGGTTGTTGTAGTTTGGTTGAGGCGGGGGCTGCTGATATCCACCATATTGTTGCGGGGGAGGGGGCTAAGCATTCCATTAGTTGACGACACTCGGACAACGCTGACAGTCAGCCGTACCTGGTTGTATCCGTAAGGTTGAGGCGACGGCTGTTGGTAGCCGTAGCCCGACCCAGCGGGCGGGTATCCATTGTATCCTTGCTGTGGAGGGCTTTTGCTCTTCATGTTAGTGACTGAGCGCGGGCACGCGAACAAAGGTTGGAGTTCATACGGGTAATAGCCGCCCTGCGCGTATTGCTGCTGCGGCGGCGGGCCGCCTTGGTATCCTCCGTACTGGCCCGGGTATCCTGACATCTTGTCAAGGCGGCGAGACTATTCTCAGACCCGATCTGTGTGTATTTGGTGACCCGAGGCCAACAAGCCGTGGTGGAAGGAGGTTCTAGCTCGACGAGATGGTCTTCGAAGAGGAGTGTGTTGGCAAGGAAGATTTCGGGGACCGGACGTCTTTATAGATGGGCGACGAAGCTGAAGTACGGCTGTCGCGAGTTCAGAAAATGGTGAGGGGAAGCGAGGGGGTCGTGGTTGAGGTGTAGGGACGGGACGAGAATGCGCGTGCTTAGGTCTCGAGACTAAGTTGGTGAGCACAAGAGCAGTGTCAGCCTTTCTTGAGCGCGAAACTGGTTGGAGGAGCGTGGTCAAGCTTACCAGTACCTTACGGTATGAGGAGGATGAAGAAGAGGAGGGCTAGCTGAAGGGCCTATCTCAAAGCGGGAAAGGGATCCTGCAGCAAGGGTGGCTAAGGACCCTAGTTGACTCTTTTGATGGTTTGGAGCCGGCTTGTGAGACGGATTGGGGTAGAAGACGGCTTCGGCAGAGCTTAGGTAGGCGAAGGTACAGTCGGGCAAGTAGATTTAGGACAGACGGTGATTCAGTAGCTGGGCGCAACAGAGGTGTGAGCTGGTGTGGCAGTAAAAAGAAATGACGGCGCGGATATGCAATACAGCCTCGAAAAGAAAGCGAGCTGAGGTGATGGAAGAAGGAGAAAATGGAGTGAACGGAGTGTTCGGGTTGGAGGAGCGAAGAAATGTGAGGAATGTAGAATGTGCTGGAGTAAGGTAAGGTAGGAGCAGGGTACCTCAAGGCTCAAGATGCGCCGCGGCGTTGCGGCGCTGCGGCGTGGGTGTGTGGTGGAGGGGTTCGAGCTAAGGTTGTCGGCACGCACCAGGTCCACTGTCAATCACCTTCACCTTTTTACCTGGCTGGGCTGGATGTGTTTTGGGCCTTTGGCGGGGAGGGGGGGGGGGGGTGCCGGGGAAGAAACAATCTAACCACACAACATGCTTACCTGCCTTAGCTTACAGATACTCTATGAAGTACGGTAGTACACCCACTGCACTCAATAGGCAATGTACCTATCAAGGCACCGTCAAGAGCACGATTGAACAGCACGACTGAACAAAGCATGAGATCAAGGTAGTAAAGCGGAAAGAGGTTCGCAAAGTGGAGGTAGATGATGAGTGTAGGGCTAACAAGACTACGTAATGTTGGATCAGTCGTCGTAGGCGCCGAGGAAAGCAACGGCATGTGGCAGGCCGGGCACCATGGCGATTGTACTTTGACGGAAGAAACGGCAGGGACGGCCTCAAAGCCCAAGTGTTCCCAAGAGTCTTTTGCTAGCGGAGGTGGATCCGAGTACCTCACAATCCGCCCACCTCTCACTAAGGTACAGTGTGCATGGGAGCATCTGATGTGTTTGATGGTGTTTTTTGGGTGCATTAGCTAAGCAAACATGACCGGGGCAGGGTCTGCACCTTGGGTAGTCTGCACCGGAGATGCTCTTGCACTGGGAAGAAAAACGCAGGGCAGGTGGCAGGTGCAGACAATCAGCCACGAGCACGGGCCATACCAAGGCCGTTCCCAGCCCGGTGAGAACCGAGAAATGGGGCACAGTTGACAGCGCTAGGCCCCTTTTGGGGTTTTCCTGTAAACAGCACTTGCTGCGATGCCACCATGTCACCATGTGATGGATGTCGCGCCCATCGTCCCTACCGTAGTGTACCTACCGTCCCTGACCTGGGAAACTGGGGCTCGGTGCCACCGTTACTGCCCTGCCCTGCCCTGCGGCTTGCCATGCGTACCGACGTACTACCGAATACGTAGCATACCTTTAGTGTTGCGTGCAACATTCGGACTTTTCTCTGCATCGTCGTCATGGCCTCAGTATTCACTACGGAATACGGTGAAAGGTGACTTCAGATTGGCACACTCGGACTGCAAATCTCGTTGCTCATTGCCCTCGAGATTTTCGCATTCCTCTCCCTGAGTCTTCACTCTTCAGCCTGCTCGCCAATCCAAGACAACCCTTGCACCGTCTTCAGCCGCAGCCATTTTCAACTCGATATGTGACTTGGGGGAACGGAACCTAAGGTAACTTCATTCCCCGAGACGTCTCGGCAATGGTCACCAAAACGGAACCGCACCAAAGCAAAGCATGTTCAACATGGCAACGAACGGCAAACTAACCACCCACCGCCTCGCCCTCCCTTACACGGTTGACCCTAGCCCAAACGGGCACCAAGCAACACCGTCATCCAGCTTCACCTCCACCCTCTCTCTGCCTCTGCGTCACTCCCGCCCATACAGGACCCAAGCAAACGCTATAGACTCTGAAATACACTAAGGACTCGATCTTGATCCATCATCCATGGCCCTGGTGTTGCTGTGGTCGTCTCCACCCGACCAAGGTAGTCCCGCTGAACTCTCTGCCCCGGTCAAGCTGAGACTTGACGCCAAACTTGACCGCCCTACGCCGATCCAGCAGGGCTATGCCGCGCTACCACCTCCAACGGCACTCTTAGACGCCATATCGCGTCAGTCGAACCAAACATTGAGTCGTTTGCACAGCTCTGAAAGCGCCTCACGATAGTACCACAGCTCGGACTGCATTAGAGTCGGCTGCCTCCGCGCGGTAAACCCATCCGCTTCGCTTCGCTTCCAAGCCCAGCTGTTGTTGAGCCGCTCGGTCAATATGTCATGTTGTCGCTCTCGGCTTTCCGACGTTAGCAACGTTGTGCCACCCCGACCATCATCCCGTTGACTAGTGTCGCTACTCAATCGGATGCTACATGGCTCCATTTTCAACGGCAGTCTTCTGGCTGGCATTGGGCTCATTACCAATTTGATGGTCGTGGCAGATGGTCCAACCAGAAGCCATAGACAGCATGAACCCAGGATTCATCAACAATTGAGATTTCCAAACGCTGCGCAGATCGATATCGGCACCCTAGTCGTGCCCGGCCATCCGTCCCGTCTCCAACCTCGTTACGGAGCATGCGCCGAATTCGAAGCTGTCTTGCCGACATCAAAGCCACTTACTGACCCGAGCCCGGTGCTGTCATACCTGGCCGCTGCACGCAACCTCAACTCTCTGTTCCGTTGCTGTCTGGATGACAGCAGTCTTCTAGCTTGGACCCTAGCGAAAGCGCGCTGTCAGTAGTGACGGACGCGCTGTTGGTGTCGTACGAGGGGATTCCCGTCCCTCATTCGAACCGTTTCGGTGCGCAGTCCCAGCAAAACAGCGCCACTGAGAAATCAGAACGCGACGTCTGTGGTTGATAGGAGCTCGAGTACGCACTCGTTTATTCCCCGATCTCAATCTGGTAAGCTTACGGGATTGCCGATCACTGTGGCGCTCCTGACGGACAGGGGCCGCGTCGATTTCTGACGAATCATCGCCCTTCTCCTTTTTCCCACTTACCCCTGGTACCTAGCATTTGGGGTCCAGAAGCGACACCATCACACCGGCATCTGTCCGAGACTCCAATTGACTGGTCTTAGACAACTTTCATCTGGACGGGTCATATCTCACAGTATGTGCTGTATCCGTAGGTGCGTGTCTTTGACACCTCACCGCACGAGAAGTATGCAGACGGTATATGCAGCCTCCATTCCGCCAAGGGGTCTCGATTTCAAGCCCTCCAGCGACTCGAAAAGGCAATTTCGACTTCTGACGGCCAGCAAGACCTGTCCATCCAAGTCCAAAATGAGGTGGTCCGGCAAACGTGGAGAGAAAGCATGCGGCCATGTCTCTGAGCAGACCAAAGCTAAACATCACCCCCGGAGACGTGGCTGAAATCGATTGGACAGTAAGCCGTCGACTTACGAGAGACGTGGCTATGGGCTAAAAGTTCAACGTTCGGCTGGCGTATAGCATTTTACCAAGCCTCGTGGGCATCTTGTCCCAAGCCTTTGGTGCATGGCTGCATGGCGCCGTCGTCCCGGGACATTCATCCTTACCATCGGGGCCAATGGACGTCAGTCTAAGACCGTGATGCACCGCACGCATCGTAACCTTGTGGCATCTTCCGTCACCACTAGGCACGGTAGGCTTCTGCCGCCCAACAGTGTGGTTAGCCGAGTTTTAAGGTTGATGCACCAGCATATCACAGGTCTCAGGTTCACGTTTTCCCGCATTTTGACCTCGATTTAGGGTGAATGAGCTTCCATCTTCTGCAAAAGTTGATTTTTCTCGAATTTCGCCCGGAACCAGGTCTTGGAGAACTCAGATCAAGCGAGTCCCCATCACCTAGTCTGGCGGTTTCTTCAATCTGCTCCTTGCTTCTAGGGTGGTCTCATTCATGATCCATCGTCATGCTAGCAGTGTCTTCGGCTCAGCTCAACGGATTGCCATGCCCGATTTAGATGCGGTGATGTCTACAACCGTGATCTTGACAATCTTGGGGCTTTTCAGCCTTCGTATCCGAATGCTACTTCCGTCGAAACCAGCCCACCGGCTTCATTGCTCTAGTCAACTACTAAATCAAAGCCTCCCGGGCGCAGGGAGCTTAATCACACGATGTAAGAAGCTCGGTCAATTGATGGAATACGACAATCAAATATGTGAGAGTTGAACGGCTTCCAGTGGCGCTGCGGCGATGGCCCTAGTTTGGTTTGCTGTGGAGGCCCGCAAGACAAACGTTCCGTAAACATTTCACATAACCGAGCGGGGTGGACCGCCTGCCATAGCGTGTCTCTGATGAATACACCATATTATCTCATAGCTGGATTGCCATTTCAATGCATCTAGACCCTCAGCGGTGGGAGGGGATGTCGATTGGCCAGGAATCGGATGCAATATGTAAGGGATCGCCCTGTCGACAATTGCATTCTTGAGGCTCTGAGGTCTTAGACTTTTACGTTTATTCACGGCTCCTCGAGTGATCAACATGCATGGAGCACGTGCAACCTTTATCATGAACTGTTGTGTAGCTTTACCTTTAGCACTGCGCTGTAGATCATGAGATAACATTACTGCACGAGTTACTAGCATTCAGCATCGACGTAGATTCTCAGTCTTGAAGGGGGGAGCTGTACGAGAACGTCACGTCCTCTATTCCGGTATTATTTGTTTTGACATCTCTGGCAGTAATGATGGTTCTCGTCGAACCGGAATTCATTGTATAGATCTCAACGAACATCCTAGGCACTCCCATGGGAGAAATGGCGCTCCGATGATTTCATTTGTCACCTCGGCTGTACATGTAGACACCGGGCTTATCTCAAAGTCTAATTGTCTACCAACCCCCAAACGCTATTTTGTTGTACCTCTCGAGATGTGTTGCTCAAAAAAAGTTACATGTTAAATGCCGACAACCTGGATGTGATTAATCCAGAGAGTTTAACGTGGGCTTCAATGGTGCATGAACTTTCCCTATCACAGACTAGAAAGCCAAGCCAATGGTTTTTTTTTTTGGCTTGGGAAAGATGGAAGAATTTCTTCCCATCTCTCACTCACCCTGAGAAAACCAAGGTCGAAATTGGAAAACTTGGTTTCGGTAAGGCAGAGGAACTTGAGAGATAAAGTCAAAGAGAGAGAGTCTAGCCATTCAAAGATGGGAAAAGGTCTGCTTCCCAAGATGTTGACACCCCTAACCGATATGTCGTGCGCATACCACCCCTCTGAAAGGTTTAGCCAATGGAGTCGACTTCTGCTGCTACGCGGATATTCGCTCAAGATTCTGATTCTGTTGGACCTAGTTGAAGACGTAACCGCTGCTATTCGAATGCGCGCAGTGACGATGGCTACCTTATGTGTAAATTGCATAACATCTGCAAATTGGAAGATGACGCAAAGAGGAATATAAATTTTCAATATGAATTTGGTCTTTTGACATCGTCAGCCATCTATGAAGCCTCGCCATGCCCAGAAACGTAAAATGTCCGGCCTTCTCTCCATCCTGCCTCCCATTATCGCCACTCTCCAACTTCATCCCACATGGTTCACCCCGTTCATGTCCCATCTCAAGCATCAACCATCTTGATATCTTCCTCCGTCTTTCCCACCGTCACCGCCTCCTCCTCCTCCTCAGGCTTTCTCATCAGCCAGCCCATGAGCGACCAAACAAGCTTCATAGCCTCGAGCCGCTCCTCGAGCACAAAGAAATCATACCACGGGCTCCGGCGCGCCTCAACCTGTCCCCAGCTCCTGTGAACATCATCGTTGCCCGCCTGCTCGGCCGCGCCCTCGAGCACCTCGAGAAGCCGTTCGGGCACGCGCACGCGCAGCACGCTAATGTGGTGGAACAGCGAGCTAATCACGTAGACGTCGTCGTACCCAACGCCCTTGACCTTGCCAATGGCCTCGTAGCGCGTCTTGCGGTCCCAGCTGGCCGACGGAGGGCGGACCATACGGTAGTTGTCGTAGATGGACATGTTCTTGCGCGGCTTCTTGGCGGCGGGCTGGCCCCTCTCTGCGGAGGCAGTAGCTCCGGCACCGGAGGCGGCGGCGGCGGCGGCGTCGTCCTTGTCACCCTGGATGGCGTCCCGCTCGACCTCGCGCCCGATGGGCCCGCCGGACCCGCCGCCCCAGCGCGGCTTCGTCGTCCACCACGCGCCATCGCCAAACTTCTTCTCCGTCTTGCCCTCGCGCGCGCGGTGCTGGGCCGTGAGGAGAGCGGCGACGAGCTCGCGGGCCAGGTCAATAACCTCTTCGTTCTCTTTATCAAACGAGATGCTTGCGCGCGCCGAGACGGCGGCAAGGGGCCCCTCTACGATGCCCTGCCGGGCCGCTTCTCGCGTGCGAGGGGTCCGGAAGATAAAGGTACACCCGGAGGCGAAGTACGACGTCCTCGGGGTGGCGGCGGCGGCTGCTGCCTGCTGGCGCTTGGAGAGTTGCGTTTGCGACGATGGCGCGGGCCCGCTAGTAACGTGCAGACGGGGTTCCGTCCGGGGAGCCGAGACGTTGCAGCCGAAATCATATGCTACGAGCTTGAGGAAGGCCGTCAACAGGCTCTGGCGGTACTCGCCCGGCATCGATGAGCCGGTCGAGGTGCGGAAAATGCGAGGCCGCTCCGGTGTTTTCGGGTTGTCCCGCTCGGCCTTGTCGCCGTCGATGACGACGTCCTTGGCCTCTTGGGCCTCCCCAGTATGCACATAGGGGTTCGTGGGGTCATCCCAATAGGTAGTGAAGGCCTCCAGGCATCTGAAGAACTCGTACGAGTTACCTAGGCGTGCCTGCTGCTGCCCCTTGGGTGCGGGAATGCGCCTCACGGTTCGGAACGCATCCTCGTTTGAGTGAGATAGCTCACGCTGGCGGTCGAGAAAGGTCTGGCAGCCGGGCGACTGAACGCCGTTATTCAGAACCACCCGAGTTTCGGCATTCTTCTCACGTGCCTCCTCAGGGGAGAGCTTGCCCCAGCCTTCAAAGTCGGGCAGGTAAGCGGAATCGGGAATGAGATCCGCGGTGGGAGCATCCGGGATGAGGTGAACCCCCAAGGCGTCGAATATGGCGGTGTTGATGTCCCCGGGGCGATAGATGTCCTGCAGGACAGAAGTCAATGGCTTCCTCTGGCCTGCTGGCGTCGTCGTCGAAGCCTTCAGCTGGGGCCGGCTCTGTGGCAACGTGACTGGCGTTGGAGGTGGGATGTCTTTCGGGTCGATCTTGACTGCGGTTGGCAGATTTGCTAGCGAGCTATTGTTAGGATAACATATTTTATGAAAACTTGAGAGTATCCGAGTGCCACAGTAGCGCTAGCAGTCCAAAGACGTGTAAGAGGTTCCCTTTGGTACGATTGGTCGGACACTGAGAAATGAAAATGGCCGGGTGAGATGAAATTCGGGCGACAGAAAGCGGACGCCGGCCGAGACCAGGCGACCCCGCGAACGGACCGCCAAGGAAGCGGTGCCAAAGAATGGAGGTAGATCAAGCGCGGAAGGGATGGGCTCCCGTTGCAGGATCACGACAGGTAACGGCATTGACGGCTTCTATGTTTTAAGGTTGGAGTAGGTTAAGCCGTGAAGGCATTGATGGACGGTACGGTAGGATATTGTTACTTGAGGAGAAGAGGATGAGGCAGAGGTAAGACGACGCAGAGGGAATGATGAAGGAGAATGGGGGTGAGAGAAACGGATGACCACTTGCGCTGAGCAACGAATAGGGGCGCCACCGTACAATAGACAACTGGAAAAGGCGCCAAAAAGGTCACAAAGCATTGTCATTTTCGTCTTATTCAGAATAAGGTAGATGAGGTAATGACCGACGCTGGCTGCACTCAATGAAATAGTAAACTCACCCAGGGCGGGATATGTGCCAAACATATTGGCGGGAAAGGTCAAAGCTAAATTTTCCGATAGTTTTTGAGATGGCACGACCTTTTGCTATGATTTCCCAGCAGATAGACGTGTGATGTGAGATGAGGCGACGGGAGGTAGAGGAAACAGGACGGGGAAGTGTGGTGGTCCGGCCGGCGATAGCACTAGGTAAAAGCGGTGGGGTCTTTTTTTTGAGTAGGTAATAAGGTAAGGTACGGGTATACGCGACGTCGAGCGGGGTCGAAGCCTTGGTTTGCTTCGTTGGAGATACCGATGCAAACTGCAGAGCGATATATTCAGTGCCCGTTGACAAGGCTTTGATACCTTACTGACTTGACGCTGATCAACTTATCAGACAGGCCTCTAGTCTGCAAAGTCAAAAGATGACAGGTGTTGCATACGAGTAAAGAGAAAACATGTACAAATTCCGACCCAGGTAGCTGGGAAGAAGAAGAAGAAGATAGTGGGACATTGACGGTGTAGAATGTAGGAGGCCGGATGGTGAGGGGAAAGAGGACACACACAAACATCACATCCACACGCGGACGAAGAGAGGAAGGAGAGGAATCCGGAGCTCAGGAGAGCACGCAGAGCACGCAGAGGAAGCAGCAGGAAATGCAGTTGGTAGAGCATTCACGCAGGCCCCCGTTACCTGCCTGGTCAGTCTTAAGTCAATGGGGCAACTCAAGCACGAGACCCCTGAACGACGGAACTGACTTACGGGTGCAATGTGCATCATGGCCGTCAATGGATGGGAAACACGCTCCAACAGCGGACAACACCTGCACACTTTTTGCATTTAATGGTCCCGCCAAGCTCTCGCTTCAAACGGCGTCCGCCTAGATGCTGGGTACCTCCTCTTTCTTTCGCCCACCGCACTTTGCCTTTAGCAGCAAATCCGTACCGGAGCCTGCTTCTTGCTTGTTGGAACCACGACGGGGGAACACACGACCCCACAACCCTCAACGTACCTAGTATACTGTGTAAGTGCAACCAAATGCAGTGTTTCTGCAGGACTGCAGCTCTGCGGGCTCCATCTCCTGGGGTCTACGCCATATCCCATAGGTCAATTGGCGCATTTTGTCTGTGTTGGTTTGGCTTGCTACTTGACCCTGGGACCTACATAGATCAACCGAAGGCTGTGATTTGATGTCGTGCGAGGCGATTGGAAGGGAACAATAATGGCGCGAGGGGGGGATTGTGATTGAGGGGTTCTTTCTGTTCAGGCCTTCTTCTTCGGGTTTGAGCTCCCGTTGAGTCTTTGGAGGTGGATGAGAGCGGACTGTGGGAGATGGTTTCCAAGTTCCAACGACGCCGAACACCTAAGTCCGAGTTTCTGAGGGCCACATTCATTATCCCCGTCTTGACCAGTTGAGCCCGACTCTTTTCGCGCGGCATTCCGGTCCACATTTCCGCGAGGAGCTCGTCGACAATAGCGGGGGCCTGTCATGGTAGAAACCTGCTTAGTCATTAGCGGATCGGAGAAACATCGCGGGACAACGAGTGTGATGTGGGGTCCCCCGCCGTCCCCCTCACCGACGGGACGGTATCCAACGCTCCGGGACTTATAGCCCGGCCGCTCCGCCGCATGGTGGACCCGGCTTGGTGCCATTATGTGAACAAGGACGAGACAGATCCCGACGTCATGCATTTCGCTACACGCTAGCCGCCTTATCAATTTATTTTGTCTCGGCGTGAGGGCGTGCCGTACGCATGCTGTAGATGTCATGAACATTATTGGAAGCCCGGGCATGGAGTGAAGGTATAAGGAAGCCATCTGTTACACACACTGAACAGGGAACAACATTCACCTTTTGCCTCGCTGTATAAATGTTGCCTGGCGGCCAGTTGGGAAAGGATTCATCAGACAGTGGTCATGAGGTAAAGATCATTGGTATAGCCTCAAACCATATCAACATCCCTCCGTCGGGAACATCTCAATATCAATCATAGGCTACAAAATCCCCCGAAGCCGTGGCTGGCTTTCTGTCCCGACCGTCCGGTGCGGGCTCCCGTGTTTCGGGGGCTGCTCTAGCGTGCAAAGCGGAGCGCCGCGATGTGAGACACCATCAACCCAAAGAAAGACACTCGCACCGGGAATCCCTCTTTCCCCCTCCCCCCTTCCCCTTCCCCCGCCATTCTTATCCTAAATACACCTTCAGGCTTCTTTCTTCCATTTGGTTTCAAAAATTTTCCGCGCGCCCAGGGACATACACTGGACCTGTGATCTGGGCAAACCCATGAAAGGGGGAGGGGGCATACGGATAGATGGGGTTCATCAATTCAACGCCTTATGCTATTGCTCCTCTATCTTTGCTCTCTGGGTCCCCTTCGTTATGCCTAAACTACTCGTCGGGTTGAACGTTGAACGTTAAGACTCAGCACTAAGCTTACTCTCGAGCCTTTTACCTGCACATCATATCATTGATACCAGCAAGCTTAGTACTCAGCTCTCTGACCAACGATCTCCATGGAAACCTGGTATGGAGGCCATGGAGTTAAGAAGTGCCGGCGAGAGACACACACGAACACGAGAGCACTGTCAATGTCTGCATACGTACGCGTACTTCGTTTCGGCCTACTGCAGCCAAGGGGGTGTGGGAGGAAGCACAGAAATCAGTGCAAAACTGCACAGCCCTTCCCCCCCCCCCCCTTCCAAGGTGCAAGACTGATGAACCCTTCCTCGAGGATTGATTGACTTTTGTTGTCACTCGTTCGTTCGTCCTGTCTTTTCCTCCGTAGAGTTAGTTCAACGAGGTCTTTTTTATTTTATTTTACTGCTGCTGTCGGCCAGCCCGTCAAGTGAGAAATCCGTCTGACCTTTTCTACGACAGTAGTGTCGAACAGATGTCGAACTAGTCCCACCATCCGTGGGGGAACCAATCGCTTTCAAGATACCACGAAGTAAGCAGTTCTCGTGAGAATCGACGACGTGTCTTTGACTCCGTCCAACACGTCGTCTTGAGTCTCTGGTGTCTGGTCCCTTGAGATATGGGTCACAACCTCAGCATTTCCAACAAACCAAATCTGCAATGTGAACCACTGACGGGGTTTTGACGTCGCCCTTGCTTTCGCCCCTGTAAAAGAAAGATGTTTGTGGTCGTCGAGTTTCACTCCTTTCTTGGTTTTATGGTTGTTCATCATTTGTTTGATGATCCGGGGATCTAGCACAGGAGGCAAAACACAGCAAACACTTTATGTTATGGAGTACACTGCAAAAAAAGCCCTCCAATATTGGGTAATGTGGTAATGGGTACGGAGTATTGTCTCGTCATATGGGGGGTTTAGGGGGGGGGGGGAGAGGAAGCACGGAGGGGGAGGAAGCTCGGCCTGTGTTTGAGCCGGCCGGGGGGTCGTCTTCTCTCCATCTATTGGAGTCTTGATCTTTTCTCTAAGCTTGTGTCACTCTGTCAAGCCCTATGCCCTGCCCCTCATCCATTGATATGCATCTTCGGAAGTGAAGATCCCCCTCTTCATTAACTTTACAAAGTTTGCATTGACCATGTCAGGAGGATTGGCAGCCCGAACATGATCGACCACCTTTAGGGATTCAAGATCTTGGGATACCTGTCAAACGTCAAAAAATCCTCACAGAACGGGCGCAACAACAACCAAGAATCCGAACTTTGCGACGTCAAGTGGCAAATCCGGCACCATATACTCGGTGTGCGCGAAGTGGCCGTGAGGCATTCGGGCTGTGCTGTGCTGGTGAGCACGTTTGGAAAAGGTTGTGCACATTCTCTCATGTCGATATCCGAGACGCGCCAACTCAACGACACCTTGTACTCCGTACATACATGGCAGTAGAGGGAACAACTTTACCCGTTTCCCGGCTGCTGCTTGAGGATTTGGGGCAAAACGGCGCGCAAAATATCTGTACGGAGTACACTGCACAGGTCACAGTCAGACACTTTGCCATGTTGTCCCAGGGGATACCCGTGTCAATTGATCGACCGACTAATAGCCCCTGGGGTGTTTGACGTCTCGGTCGCTAGTGACCACCCCCGTGCAGCGTGCCCCTCCTCAGTGGGCAAGCTGTATGTGGTCGGGTGCAATTGCGGGCAAAACGGGCCAAGACCATGAAAAGAGTGAAAAGAGTCTTTTGGAAACGGCTTGCGGGGTGGTCTTCGCTTTCGTGGACCAGTCTGGGAAGAGCCTGCGGGACTGCCATCTCAAGCGTCCACTTTGGGTGGTTATGCCACGAGGTCATGGGGACCAGGGGGCTTGCCTGCAACCGATGGGCATAGCAGTCTTAATCCACCTATGACCAGAGACCTTGAGAAGCCAGTCAAGACTGAGCAATGGTGCGGTCTTGGCGGGCATGATGATGAGGAATGAAGCTTGTAGAGGGTAAAAGGGTCCTGAGAGGGTTCCGTCGTGCTCTGATAGTCCAAGTGCACAAAAGACCGAGCAAAGGGTTCCTTCCGACCTCTGTCTTCTTGTGACATTCATGCTCACAATATGAGGTGAATCGATCAGTTCGGGGTTTGGCCGAAGGAGGGACGGAATTTGTAGTTTGGGTGAAAGGGTCTTTGCAAGAGACGGCCAACCACGATGTGAGGATGAGAGAGATGGATGTGTGGTGATGTGTCCGCAGTTCGGTCGAAGCGTACCTAGGCGACGACGACGACGACGACGGCGACGACGATTACGACTCCGCTTCTCTTAAACCGACTCAATGAGGCGATGCGTCGTGCATGGCGTTTCTTGTTTCCTGCAGGCTGGTGGGCACAGGAGCGCTGGATGGTGTCTCATGCAGCCGAAAAGGGAGCGAGTTGCAACTGTGAGTCTGGGAACCAGTGAGAAGGAGTCGCGAATGCCACGGCGGTGGTAGCCGCGGCAGGCCTTCTCCGGATGTGCACGACAGGCGAGAAGGGCGGGCCACTGCCCTGGGCCAGCCCAGCGGTGAGTGCGGGCCGCAAATTTGTTTGAGAGATCATGGCCGAGAGGGCGTAGGGTATTAGACTGGATTCTATTTACAGATGACTTTTTGAAGCTGACGAGGGGGAGACTTTCGGAGAATGAGGAATGAGGGGCCAACCGCGCAGTGGGCGAGGGGGAAAGCCAAGAATGTTCCGAAGCAGCGTTGTGCGGCGTGCCAGGGTAGAGAAGTTTCGCGATGACTTCTTGGTGGTATCCGCAGGCAGGAGAAATAAACTCGAGATAGATTAATTAAATGGAGGGGTTGAAGACGCACGCACCTGATCTGGCCTGACTTGGTCGTTGCCCTTGCCCAGCCATGATTCATCTACACGTGTATTCGTTTACGTATGTGGACAAGTACTTTGGAATACGCAGGTACGTCAGATATAGCCCAAGCATCTCGAGTTTATTGCGCGTATATTGCGGCATGTATGTATGTATGTATGTATGTATGTATGGTGGTGATGTTCTGCCGCTTCTGCTGCATGACGCCAGATACAAAGTACACGGGCATGGATGGATATTGAAGTGTTCAGTGTTGCTGGAGACGGAGAGGTCTCGTTCCGACTCTTCTTCGAAATGCAACGACCGGTCCATAAACAGGAAGGACGGGTTGTCGGGCCACACCCGAACAATGGCGAGAAGGACTTTCTGGCATTTGTGGTGAGGTGTGCAGCAGATGGATCATGGAATTCGACCAAGCATGGAAAATGCCAATGCCGCCGGGAAAGAAGTGAAGTGTTCCCTTTCCCCGTCGGATGCGCTGCGACTGCAACGGGAAGGCCCCACACACCACAGGACACCGAGGTGTCTTGCAGTTGCGGCGTTTCCAAGGCAGGCACGCAGTTGGCCGATTCGGCGCCACAGACGAGACTTATGCAGGGGTAACGGCCGGTACGTAGATACGTACTGACACTGCCGCAGCACCTTACCTTATCTTAGGTAGCGACTAGTTACCTTAGCTATTACTCCGTAACATCATCAACCAAGGTGAGAACTACCGGTAAGCTTGTCAGTTGTAGCGCACGTCGACAAGATGGTTCTGGCATGTCTGGCATGAGATTTCAAGTGAACCAAGGAAAACAAGCTGTGGAGGGGCCGCCAACCAACGTGTTTAGGGTTAGACTGTCATAGGCAAGCCGCAGACCGCAGACCGCAGAGGAACGGTGAACGGTGAACCCAACCACCAGCCCAATGAAGAATAGGTAGAGAGTCGAGAGCTTATTGTCCATACATACCTTCATTCATTGTCCACATTTTAGAATTACTCTGTACACGCAGGAAACGCCGCAAAAGAGACTACTGTGTATTCTCTGGCACTCTACTCAGTAAAGTCGTTGCACAGGAACTTGTAGGTCGGTAGTGGTTACTAGTGTGCTGCGTCGTGAGGCTGGGGACCCCTGGTCTGGAACGTGCCTGGGGTTGCTTGGAGGCGGGTTCTCGTGCTTCAGGTGTGTTACAGACAGGGGGGTCGCCGTTTCTGGACTGGACACTCCATCTCTTCCTCTTCCTCCCTCTCCCCAATCCCATTCCTGTCTCTGCTTCATCCTTCATAGCCGTTATTGGGCAACGTTCAAGTATCTCTCTTTCTGTCTCTCAAGGTCAGACCCCCAATCCCTGCAGCATCGGTTCCCATCTTGATGCGCCTACGCTTCCATTCCCATCATAATTCGTCCATCAATACCTGGGTCCCAGCGCTGCAGCAACTACATCCTGTCACTTCCTTCCCAAAGGAACCTTCTCAGACAAGACACGGCCACCAATGCCCGTTGGATCAATCCCGCGATGCGCCCGAAAAAGAGATGTGTGTGGGAGAGATCCATCAAACATTGATCAATCCTTCCATGCTGCGACTGACACCATCAATGCCGGTGCTTTGCTGCTGCTGCTTCCCTTCCTGTCATGAGAAAGAGAGTCCGTTCCACGACTCGGCTCAAAGTCGAGTCAAACACCCAACTTGAGGGAGACTGCGTCTAGAACCGTACTAGTGTACAAATGGATACCAAAGGCCAAGGACGCAAAGCCATCTTTCAAGTTCCTGATCTTGCGACTTGCGAACTTGCGGCATGCCTTGCATTTGCAGCTGGAGCGGCTGCAGACTTGCATGCCCGTCCTCGGCGCCCTGTCATGGGTGTAGTACCTTACTTGGGTTTGGTGACTTTGGTTTGGCCTGGCCTAGCCTAGAGTCTGCTCTGGTCTAGTTCTGCCTCTGGTCCATTCATGGTCTAGGGTCTGTCACTTTGGTCGTCCTCGATTAGAGTAAGGAGACGTACCCGAAGTAACGCTGTCGCTCGGCGCCTACCGCTCTTTGCTTCCTCGTCCTCGTCCTCGTCCTCCTCGTCCTCCTTCTCCTCTCTGTATGGGGTCCTCCTCGTAAGGTACGGATAGTCTGTACGAAGTACGGTCCACGGATAACCCTACTCCCTCAAGAGTCAACGGTGCTCACCTCCCCCGGCTGATGAGATACACATCGGTCCTCGATACCACAGTACACACGCCTGTGGTCCATGCTATATCATGTAACACGCAAGTGCCTGCTTGCATGTTGCAAACCGGTGCCCGTCTCTGTTTGTGAGAGGTCCAGAAAGAGGTGTGTGTGGTCCCTGTCCCGCACGATCGGAGAGACATCCCGCGAGCCTCAGTCAAGACTCAGACCCTGCCGTACCAGTCCAAACCTATCCATACCAAACCACTCCCGACCAGGCCCTGGCTGGTCTCTCTTAGTCTTCCCTACCATACCTAACCATAACCTTGCCCGACCATACCTTACCCTGCCATACCCTCCTTTAGTCTCTTACACTCCCTTTACCCCGATCACCCTCCTCGTCTTCTTCCTTACCACCACCTTTGATTCTCTCCGTGACACCTTTCTCACGCCTTTTCGACTTTTCATCTTCTTCCTCTCCCAACTAGTTTGGTGATTGCTTCTTTTCTATTCTCAGCGTCTTGTTTATTCGCTTCGATACCGAGAACGACAAACTTCGACGACATCGACGACATCGATCTTCGACGACACAGTCTCACCCTTTAGACTGTCTGCGCGCAGTGCTCTCTGCTTACACGTGTTTTCGTCCACCGAAGAATCCGGTTTCTCACGGCTCTCGCGCCGTTTATGCTTCAGAAGGAACCGGTTCCTAATGAGCTTTTGCGAATCGACCTAGATGGCCGGCTAGGCTTCTCCTAGTATCAGTCTATTTTCTTCAACCCGACTCGGGATCCTTGTTGTTCGATTCTCGAAACTATTCAGTTTTTTGCGACTGGAATCGCAACATATTGCAACAATGTCGAGTCCAAATCGTAACGCGAACCTCCCGGATGGGGCTTTCATCACGACTTTCAATGGCAAGAGGTGTACGGCGAGGCCGAGGAACGGGAATAAGTCAAAATCAAACAACCAGCAACGTGCCTCGACGAGTACGTCTCACTCGACATCGACATCACACTCGACGACCCGATCGACACCGCCGCCGCAAGTGAGCTCATCACCGCCGCCGCCTCCAGCAGTAGCAACTCTTGCTCCTGCTCCTCCGCCGCCGCCGCCTCCACCACCGCAAACAACACCACCGCCGCCACCACCACCTCCAGCTGTTTTGACAACTAGTTCAGCGAGTACGACGAGCTCCTCATTACCTCCTCCTCCTCCTCCCCCTCCCCCTCCTCCAGTAGTGAATACCCCCTCTTCAAATCCACTGCCTCTACAGCAGACACAAGCGCCGCCTGCTCCAGTCGTATCGAGTCCTCCACCACCACCCCCGCCGCCGCCGGTTCCAGCAGTATCAACGTCTTCTCAGCCTCCCATTGTTGACGCTGAACCGCCGGCGACGATCCCTACTTTTCAAAATATTCCCAATATTCCTGTGCAGAGTTCTCCTCCTACTCCCGCCCAGATCTTTCCCCCCGCCTCATCTTTTTCTTCTTCTTCAATACCTGCCCCAGTCGTGTTGCCACCCGTTCCAGTAACCAGCCAGACTGATGCCAACGCAGTCCCAACACCAACACCTTCTCAAGCGCCCCCCGCGTTTTTCAGCAATATCAGCCCATCACCCTCATCCACGAGCAGCGCAGGAGCAGGCGCTGGAGCTATCGCGCCTTCGCCGCCCTTGAATCCGGGTACTGCCGCAGGTGAGGCAGGGACGGGGAACGATGCTCCCTCCACCAGTCAAGCTCCTGCTTCGAGCAGCAGATCGGGGGGCGTGGCTACTCCTGTTGTGATTGCTTCGAGTGTTGTTGGTGCTGTGGCGGTAATTGGCTTGTTTGGCTTCCTGCTTTGGTTCTGGCGCAAGAGGTTGCTCAAGAAGCGTCGGAGCACGCTTCTTACTCCGTTGTCCACGGATCCCAGCTTCAGGGAAAAGTCGTCATATGTCATTGACAGAGGATCTCTGGGCCCAACACCGCGCTCAGCAAAGCTCAAGGCCGCGCTTGGCTACAACTTCCAGAGATTCCGTGGCCAGTTCGGTGGATTGGTCTCGCGCAACCGGGATAGCGGCTCGACTAACGATCGCGCTCAGTTCATGAACATTTCCCAGCACAGCCGAAACAGCTCGTCTCTATCAAATCATGGTGGACCGCGAGACGTCGTGACTACAAAGGATCGAGTCAAGGATTGGTGGGAACGGTTGACGGCTGATATGAAGTTCAACTGGCGACTCCGCGGCGACCGGAATGCCGAAAAGGACCCGTTCGCCTCAGCTCGCAACATGAGCGATAGGAAAGCGGCCGCGCCAGGACAACCCGACTTTTTGACGCTTTTGGGTATGGACGACAGAGAGGTTGAACGGGAAGCTCAGAGGAGGCGAGTGAGCCGGAACCAAGGCAGTGCCGGCTCCGCCGATCACTTCCTTGGTGGCCTGGGATTGAACTTTGACAACGCTTCCGCCGACCCCTTTTCTGATATCAACGCGTTACCTCACAACTCGGCGAAGCCGGCGCCGCTCGCCGTGGCCAACCCGGGCAACGGCAACGGCAACAACCCCTTCTCCGATGCCAATGCCATTTCAGCACCCGCCGCCGCAAGAAAACCGTCGTCGACGTACGTCGCTGATGTACGCCGGTCAAGAGGAACCTCTGTTGGCGGTACCACAACCAGACCCCCTAGCGGCTCAACCTACTCTCCGCGCCTGGATTCTATGTACCGAGACTCGATGCAGAGCGTGGAGAGCTTCGCAACGAGGCGGAACAAGTTCCGATCTGATCCGTTTGATCTGGAAAGACCCGAACTACTGGGCAGCAGTCTCGGTAGCAGCAGCGGTGGCCGGTTGACGCAAGCCAGCAGCAACTACAGCCAAGGCGGCGGGGGCGCACCCCGCGTACCTGGCAATGCTCACACGCGTGCGGACAGCTTCAGCTCAAAGTACAGCAGCGGTGTGAGCATGGACGGCTGGAGTGATCCCGGGCCGGACGTCGGGCCTTCAAGCGGACCTGGCTATCGCAACGAGGGTGCCGAGAGCCCAGTTGCGGGTTACAGGGCCGGAGAGCAGAAGAAGAATGTCGTGAGGAGACCCAGTGGAGGAAGCCAGAACAGCGTCGGCAAGGCGTTGTAAGGGGAGGGAGGTTTCATCATCATTATGTATTACCAAAACACATCTTTCACTACTTGTACAAACGTTGGAGACGAAGAGGGTTGGAGAGGGATTGAGAAGAAAAGGGTCAATCACCAGAAGAAGGAACGATTTTCACGCGATATGGGTGGGAGGGGCATTTGAGGAACAGCCACGGCTGGTGGTATGGTTGATATGGACATGAGAGAGACTGAAATGAGAGGGTATGATGAAGGATACCGACCAAAAAATGAAGGGACCCTTTTATCTCATTTGGGGACCGGTTGTGGTGTATTTGGTGTTTTCGAGGAGACAGATCACAACGTCCGTGTTTTCTGAGCTTCATTTTTTTTTCGTTCTTGTTCTCTTCCCTTCTCACGAAGCAAAAGTCAAAACTTCTTGACCATGAGACGCCCCATACTCATCCCCGGCCTCCCTGCCCAGCTTCTTACAAGCGGGTTGCGACGGCAAGGAGAGGAGCAGCACAAAGCCTGTTCCACTGTAATGGTTTTGTTAGATGAATCCTACAAAGTGAAAACTTATCCCATTGAAATGAGTAACTTTCCAAATGACCAACCATTCGCAACATGAACACTGTGAGATGCATTATTATCGCTGCTGTTTCGTTTCCCTTTAAAAGGTGGTGATATGGTGAGGCACCACCAGTGCCTGCGTGTACTCCGTACCCATTTCATCAAGTAATGCTAGGGTAAGACGACATGTATGGCTGCGACTTGTACGTAACCGGAGACGAGACCGGCCGTCCGGGCGCCGGCCGGGGGTGGCCGGCAGGGAAAAGAAGCATGAATTTGGGATGCAAGTGGGGCAAAGGTATAAGTGATACTGGTTGATGTGTACTCTATACCTTGGCAGCTTACCTTAGGTAAGGTAAGGTACTCCGTAGTAAGGTATGATTATGACTGATAAGGAACGATTGGATCCCGTGATGAACAGCTGGCAGAAAGTGGCGGGGGGCAGCTGCTCCGTTGGTCGCGAACCCCTGTCGAATCACACCACTTGCACTTCCCGTCCCGGGACATCTGTCATAGTTACGTACCTCGCCGTCCGAATGTCTGCCAGGTCAGGTAATACACAGCTAATGTGTGGTTGGTACTGTGGGTGGTGCTGACACATGGAAAGGAAGCAGCCAAAGTTAAGGAACAAGACGTAAAAGCAACCTCGTTGTGCGTTGGGTAGGATTAGTTGCGTATTCCCATCAGGCAGTCCGTACAGGCCAAAACACCTAACTACCCCTCATTCAGCGGCGTCCACTCAGCTGTCGACAGCTTCCAACGACATCAAGCCCAGAGGGGGGGGGGGGGCAGGCCAATGCACCATGCCCATACACACCACACCGAGGTAGCTTAGGCGTTACGTCAAAGGGTCAGTCCACTGCTTTCTACCTTGGGCACCTCAAGGTAAGGTAGGGAGCCTAGGCACAGCTCAAGGTATGCAGAGCTAAAGGCAGCAGGCAAAGAACAGATATCTACTGCCCGTCTTCTGTACAAGAAATCCAATCTCGAACCAGCGGCACTAGCCTAGTTATTGCGAATTGACAGCATCTCGCTCCTCCCCGTTGCATCAACTTCCCATTAAAGGACCCCGCTACGCACCAAATCACAAACTGAAGGCTTCCCTTCCCCCTACTCGCTCCGTCCTGCTTACAGGAATTCCTATCCACAAATACTTTCATATATCTACAGACAGACCTCGGTGTGTATCCTACGGGCTAACCCAGTCCCTCTGCGGCGGGACCGATCCGAACTCACCGCCGTTGGCCGAAAGCTAAAAGTTGCACCACCGGCGACAAGCCCCGTTGTCCAACGACCTAGCTTACTCTCGGATTACCCTACTCAACCTCCTTACCGGCCACTTTCTACTCGCCTTGCCCAATCAACACGACACCAAGTCAAACAGCCCGAGCCAGCCAGCCAGCCCTTCTTGCTTTTTTCTGACTTACCAACTATCGCCCTTAGTAAAACCACTGTCGTTTTCGTTCAGCACATACCCTTAGCCTGAAGGGAGAAAGAGGAAGAGAGGAGGAGAGCACCAAATTGCCCTCCGTCGCTCCGCCGCCGCCGCCTCAACTACTCTCTCATAGCGCCCGTCTACTCGATGATAAGCCCCTGTCCGGCCACCGCAACCGACCTGTTCCCATATATGCCACGCTATCTTCTCCACGCCCACCCTTGAAAACCGGACCTAGCCACCCCACCACGTCCGACCACCCACTGCCGGCCTCGACATCATATGCTGGCTTGACCCGGACGTCAAGGACAGACAGAGAGATGGCTTACCAGAGTCCTCCAGAAACACCATCCTCCTCCGGCGCCCACACGCCAACCCACTCCTCCTCCGCCGCACCGTCGTTATCGAACTCTGTCATCACAACAATGTGGTCCGGTCTGATACGCCGCTTCTCCTCCGACCTTCCAGAGTCCTACGGCCACAACGGTCACTCGCACGAGCCTTCACACCTCTCCCACGCGCGTACCGAGCCCGCCGGCGGCGGTGGTGGGGGCTTCCAGGATGGCATCAACGGCGTCTTCTTCCCGAGTCATCAACCCATTCGAACTGCGAGCCCGTTCCGTCCGCCGCCTCTCGACCCCATTGTCCTGCACGGCTATAAGGAGAGCACCTCGCAGAGCGCCAGGCTGCTGAGTCACGGCGTGGCCGAGGAGATTCGGATCATGCTCCCAGAGAGGCTCAGGATCAAGGAGGACTGGAGGTTGATATACAGCTTGGAGCAGGACGGCGCCAGCTTGGCAACACTATACCAAAAGGCGGCCGAGTTCCAGGGCCGGCGAGTCGGGTTTGTTCTAGTCGTGAGGGACGATCTAGGCGGCGTAAGTGGAAAATTCCCTTCTTGCTGCTCCTCTCTTTGCCCAACTTGTCACCGTAGCCAACGGTCTCGATATTGCTATAAGCTAACTCTCTTCTCCTCCACGACCAGACTTTCGGCGCCTACCTCTCCGAATACCCACACCCCGCGTCCAAGTACTTTGGCAACGGCGAATGCTTCCTCTGGCGTGCGTCAACCCTTACCCCGCTCCCGCCACCACCCTCCGCCGACACGACGAACCTGACGCGCATCACCACGGTCGCCAGCCCGACACGCTCGACTTTCGGCGACCGCAACAACGCGCCGTCCCCGGCGCCGAGCGAGTCGATCCGCTTCAAGGCGTTCCCGTACTCGGGTATCAACGACTACTACATCAACTGCGAGACGGGCTTCCTCAGCGTCGGCGCCGGCGACGGTCACTACGGCCTGTGGCTCGACGACAGCCTCGATCGTGGCCATAGCGGGCGCAGCCATACCTTTGGTAACGAGCCCCTGAGCGACGAGGGAGAAAAGTTTGGCGTATTAGGTGTGGAGCTTTGGGTGCTTGGTGCCTGAAAGATGGACACGGGTGGTTATCAGAGAATAGAATTCAAAAAAAACCCCAAGTTGACGGAGATAGGGCCTGGCAGGGCTACCGAACCGGCCGCCGAAACAACAGCACGCTGATATACGCAGCATGGACACGGAGCACGCCCAGCAATCGCGGACGCTCGTGTTCCTCTGCGGAAGGGGAAAGGGATGAAAATATATCAGTCACACACACACACGCACAAAAAGAAGAAAAAAAGAGACAAATACACCACACAGATATACGACTGGGACTGGGACTGGGGCTAGGCGTTGGAACAAAGGGGGCGTAAAGGCGACAGGTTATTTTGCAAAAACGGCTGACAGAAGTTTCTGCGGCAATCCTTGGCAACGACAATGCCGCGAACAGGTGCTTTTTCTGAGGACCTGGATCGAGTCGACCAGGGGCGCGAGCGGAATTTCCAGTTTTTACCGCGTGCCCGTTTTCTGTCCTTTGGGAGTCTGGGAACCTTGCCGTCGATTGGCTCGACACACCTTCAAGTCAATCCTCGCTTCGAGGGACACAAGAGCGAGAGCACTGACTGAGCTGGAGCGGACTTGACTGTACGGGCAAACGAGGACTCGAGACATTTTTTAATGATTATAACAATACCCCCTTATCCAAATTAAAGAATCAACACATCTTTACATATGCATGGCGGTTTTCATATCGAAATCACCATATTGAGTTGAGCGCTTGCTTGGGGTACATTGCGTCTACCGTGTAGTTAAAAGTGTACCGTATCGTGTGATTTCTCTTGAAAGACTGATCCCGTTAAGGTCGATCTTTTACGCCTGTAAAGCCGGAAAAAAAAAAACCACATCTTTAATACATTCCTTCCCGAAGAATATCGGTTGTGACCCCTTAGCTTTTACTCTGACCCCGAAGCTCTCCTTTCTTTGAACTAAAAACCTACCAACGACAACCCCCTTCAACTGGGTGGAACATATAGAGTCCTTTTTGAAATTTCGATATGCTATTCGCTCTCTGTATCTTGTAAGATACGAGGCACTGCCAGCTTTCGTTTTTATACACATACCTACCTACCTACACCCACAGCTGATCATGAAACTCACAACAACCCGGGAAAATGGCAATTGCCATGCCACATCGGGCCATCGAAAAGCACCTGCAGCCTCCCGGAGGCATCGACAAAAAGAACATGGAAATGACCGGATATACGACTTGCCTGGGAATTCCTTGGCCAAAGAATCCCTATTTTCCACCCATCCATCATCCAGGTTTTTTTTCCCTTTTCAATCTTTGGGTCATCCGACAACAAACTTGGTAATGCTCAATCAATCAATCCTGTTGCTCTGCTACTACTCATCCATGCTCATTGAAAAAGCTCGCACCCTGTCGGGCTTTTCCACCGAGAATCCACGTTTGTCGTACGGTGGTATAACGATTCCATATCTTGCAGTGGGTTTCAGTGTTCTCCTCATGTTCCTTCAAGCTTGTATCAGTGACGTTGTCGACGCCGGGCGGCCAGAGATATCTATACGATTGGGTTCACGAGAGGTCAAGTAGCCAATGTAAGCAACGCAAAAGAAGAGGAAATTAGACGAGAAAAGTATTTGCCTATCCATCGTT